TTCATGAAGCATCTGTAAGTTGCTAATTAAGTTTTGTTACTCTATCAATAATGTGTTGTTACCAATAGAGCATTTTTGTAAAGCTCATTACTAAACTAGGAAATAAGATATAAGCCTAGCTATTAGGATTTGTTCTCTCACCAAATGAATGCAAGGGCTTTGGGATAATTTCATCACGCAAGAGCCCCTCCTTTCACTAGAGCTAAATCAAAACACCCAATGGTTCTTTAGTTATAGAAACAAGTCAGAGAATCTGACAGTCCCAGCCTTTGGGAAGAAATGCCCCCAGTCGGTTTGTTTTGGGAGTCTACTATTTACTAGATTATCAGTTCTTATATTTATGCCTTTTGTGTACCCAAATGAGAGTAAATGCGGATGGGAAAGGCAATGTGTGTCTTCTTAAGTATGTTTCAGCACATGAATGAAGGAATTTCATTAATGTACAATAGCAAACCTCACTCTTTTTACATTTAATAGGTTTAGGGGTGTGGTGGTTACCATTTTAAAGGAAAAATAAACTATGTGATTATAGTTCACACTGATTAGTTTTGAGAGGTTTATGCTTGTGATTTGTATGGACCATGTCTGAAAATCACAAGGATGAATATATTTACACCTCCATTTCCTATCATGGTCAGCCTGATTTTCCTAAGTTTTGTTCTCATTTCCAAAAGATTGGTCCATTAAGATTGATGGGAGCCTTGTTATAATTTCGTTTGTGAATAAAGCAAAAATAATGGCACGTTCCTCTTTTCATATCGATATTCCAAAAGACTTTTGTTTTTGACACAGTCCCTGGGGAGCATTAACTTCTTTCTCCTGAAAATACTTTCTTTTGTGGTTATCTTGATCTCAAATTATTTTTGCACAAAGAGATTTTACTGTGCTTACTGTAAAAAGAATAAAAATAAAAGAGTTCATGTAAAGTGGAATTTCAGATTAGAAACAATACTATTTACCATGGCACACATATGAAGGGTAAAGTTAAAATGTATTAATTTGACTATACAACACATTTAGTGTTCATATAATTGACATAAACCTTATCAACCTCGTCGCTTGGAACTGTATTTCTCAAAAGAATGCTGGCTAGCATCTTCCCTACTTACTACACCAAATTGTAGGGGAGAGACTGTGTATTTATTTTTTAAAAGCAATCCAATGGATTTGTTCTTGTCCATATTTTGAAAACAAGCTTGAGGAATTTTTCTTATTTTAGAAGGTAGGGAACATGTGGACCTGTCTTTTAAATTACTGTAATCTAATATATATTTATAAATTATAGCGTTAAAAAATTCTGATATTGATGTTACTTCCTGGTATTTAATTTTTATAAAGTGTTTTTGTAAGTAACTAATTGTAATATTTCTCTTGTGTAGTTTAAAAAACCTTTCTGACAAAACCTCTTTCCTTAGGGCAATATTCTAAAGTTCAGTAGTTCAGCGTGAATTTGAAATGTTCTCACTTATCTTCAGTCTCTTTTAATATATACAAGTACCCAAGCAAAGTACACCAAAAGCCTAATTTCTGAGTTGCATTAATAAAATATATGCTAATTATCCAATTCAGTGGATTAGATGAAATAAAAGATAAGTCTTTTAAATATGTATCTGATCATAATTTTTCAAAATATTCATTATGTTCATTTTTGGTGCATGATGCCAAATAATCTGAAATCAGCCATTATTGCTTAATATGTAATGACAAATGTTTTTCTGTCTGATCAGTGGATTGTAGATTTCACTATTTTTCTCTGCAGATAATCACTGCATTTTCAAATTGATTTGGAAAAAGCTTGCAAAGTGCTAAGTAAATTCACATATTGGGCCTTATCTATGTATATTTTGACAAACTCATGGACTTGGAATTGCTCTGTAGTATTTTAATTTATTGTGATGTAATGATTTTTTGAAATGTTTAATTGATTAGCTGTTAAAATATAGAAAATTATGTAGCTTTGCATGAAATAAAGTACATTTCTACAAGTTAACTAAGAATTTTGCTAATTGTTTATGCATTTTACACCATGCCATTTTTTAGATTAAATTCTTGTAAGTAGACTGAAGCACTCTTTATTTCTTACAAAACTGTTAACCAGATATTATAAAATAAATTAGAGACCCGGTACACGAAATTCATGCACTGGGGGAGGGTCTCCTCAGCCCAGCCTGCTCCCTTTCACATACTGGGAGCCCCAGGGGATGTCCTAATGAGGGCTTAGGCCCACTCCCCATGGGCCTAAGGGACTCCAGAACCTTCACTATGAAAAAATGACAACTTTCTGAAGGCATTTTCAAGATGTGTCTTTCATAGGATATGACCTTTCTTTCCTTTTTTCTTTTTTTCTTTCTTGTTTCCTTTTTCTTCTTCCTCCTCACCTAAGGATATGTTCCCATTGACTTTTAAAGAATGTGGAAGAGAAAAGTAAAGACAAGAGAAGCATGAATGTGAGAGGAATACTTTGATTGGTTGCCTCCTGCATGGGCTCCAGCCAGGGAGGAGCCTGCAACTTAGGTACATGCCCTTGGTCAGAATCTAACCTGGACCCTGTGGTTGGTAAACCTAGGCCAAACTGCCTGGGGCAGGTTATCACATTTCTTAGCCCTCCAGCAGCAGACTTTCGTTTTGTTGTTGTTGTTTTGTTCCCCCCCCCCCCCCCAGGAGTGTGGTGGGAGAGCCCTAGATCATCTTTTTCCATTCCTATACCCAAGTTACTAAGAACAGTACCAGTGGCATACAGAGAGCTTAGCCATTGAGTGGGCAGAAAAGGTGTTCCTCCTGTTAATTCACACCTATCTCCTCCAAACTCCAGCTCTGCCCCTGCCAAGGCGTAAAGCCTCTAGCCCTGGGCAGGGACCCCAGCTGGCTCAATTGCCAGGCTCCGCCCCCAGTCAAGGCTGTCAGCCTCTGAGGCTCGGGCCCTGGGCAGGGACCGCCAGCTGGCTCCAATCACCTTGCTCTGATGGCCCAGCTCCAACCATGGCCAAGGCCAGCAAGGGCAGGCAGAAAGCTTGGCTTCCTCCATTGCAGGGGAAACCCAAGCGTCCCTCTTTCTCTCTGTGGCCGGCAGTCACCTTGGTTGGGCTTATTTGCATGTTTGCTCCTGATTGGCTGGTGGTATAGCAGAGGTGTGGTCAATTTGCATTTTACTCTTTTATTATATAGGATAGCATAGGTAATGTATGTGGACAATCCAAAAAATACACAGATTATTAGAATGGATGATAAAGATAACATCAAATCTAGGGTGTTCCAAGAAAACGTGGTCTACGCATGAAGCCAAGACTGATAAAACCCTCAAGACCTTAGGAACATGTACACAGTGCCTCAGATTCCTATAAGGATTTCCAGAATGCAAGAATTCTCCAGGAAGCCCCGCTTCTCTGAGAAGGATTTGGGAGGTGGCTTTTCTAATGGCAGGAACCCCAATAACATTAACTGGAAGCTCCAAGCTTCTAAGGGAAGTGCAGTGGCAGAAACCCTGCTTGCTGGCTTGGACTCCTTAAGGTACACCGAGGCGGTACACAATGAAAAGAGGCCCATGGTGCATGGCTGGTCTACCGGGAAAAAGCAGGCTGAGCCACGGCTGCCGCACAGGGACAGGGCAGAGCTCGGAGGGACCAGACGAGGGCCGTGGAGAAGCATTCCAAGGTTAGGGCGATGTGTTCCTTTCCCGGTGAGGAAACAGAGCATGATGAAATCGTTAAGTCCCAGTGCCAGAACAAGTGCACCGCCCTTCGGCGCCACTGCCATGCAAGCTCTCCTCTACCGTAAACACAAAAGAATTGGTCATCAAGTGGCACCTCTTAATATGGTGTTGGGGAACCTTGGCCCCTGATTGAGTCAGAGACCCTGAACCTCAGACTCAGTTTTATTTTTAAAAAATAAATAAATAGAAAGCAAGTGGACTGACAATTCTCAGGGGGAAGGGGGTCTGAGGGGTGCGGGAAGAGACTGGACAAAAATCTTACACCTATGGATGAAGACAGTGGTGGGGGGGGCGGGTAAGGGCATGGGGTGGGGTGGGGAATCAGGTGGAGGGGAGCTATGGGGGAGGGGGGAGGAGAAACACCTGTAATAATCTGAACAATAAAGATTTATTATATTAAAAATAAATAAAAATAAATAAATAATGGGGGGGGGGAAGGGGGGAGAAGGGCTATCACACAGTCCCCAGGGTGGCGGTGAGATTGTAACCAAGTCTGGACTTAGAAATGCCAGGAAGGAGCTGCCCAGCAGGAGCTGCGGGTTATTGGGAAACATCCAGCATCCCCTGGCCTCAGCCCCGCCTCCTCCCCCAGGTCCTGATCTGCAGGTGTTTTCCCAGCGGTGCCGGCCCTGCTGCCCTTCTTGTCCTTAGAACTCAGCGCGACCTAAATTCCAGCTCCTGCCAGGGCCCATCTCTGTCCCAGAGGGGCGCGCCAGGAGAGGCGTGGGCAGGGCCACCCAGCCCGCCCCATAGTGAGTGCTCAGCCAGGCTGAGCTTTTTCCGGGGGGGGGGGGGGGGGGGGGGGAAGAAGGAGGTGGATGGGCTGTCAGCACCCGGCGGGGACGGGGACGGGCTCTTGGGTCACTGTAACAGCAGCTGGCCACGCCTTGCACACTGCTCCAGGCCCCTTCCCTGGGGGGATGGAGGGGGGTGGGCAGATGAGGTGTGTGTCATTTGAATCCCTAAGAAGGGCCATGGGTGGGGCACCCCAAGGCGGGAGAAAGAGCCAGAGAAGAGGAGGGAGAAGAGGAGGGCGAGCCGGAGGCAGTGGGTGTCCTGCCTGGGAGTTCCTGACCAGCAGAGCTGTCAGTCCCACGCCCACTTCGAGGGGGGCGTGCCATGGACATGACTTTCAGGGACACCCTGCAGGCGGGGTCAGAGGGATCAAAGGGAGCGGGGTCACCGGCCGGGAAAGGGGCGGGTACGGAGGCCTGGCCCCACGCCCTGACCCTCTGACCGCTGGTCCGCAGCTGCAGGCACCGTGCTCAGTGCACCCCAGGCCTCTGCAGAGCGCCCGCAGCCAGGCCCCGCGGGGCACAGCGAGTCAGCATGCGGGGACCCCTGGCTCTGCTGCTGGCCGTCCTGGGGGCCTGGCTCCCGCTCCTGGAAGGCGCCAGGATCCTGACCGTGGTCCTGTACGGTGAGTGTGCCCCTGCCTGAGCTCCTGCTGGGGGCAGGCCTAGAGGACCCTCCTCCCCAAGGCGGCGAGGTGCCAGGTGGGCTGCGGAAAGCAGGGGCCTCTCTGACGCTGAAAGCAAGCTGGGAGGAACCGCAGGTACCTGAGCCTCAGTCCCAGGATCAAGGTTCTGGGCATCTCTCCTTCTTCCTAATGCACACCAGCCCCCAGAGTCCTCCGGGGGCCGCATGGGCAGTGCAGGCAGCCCAAGACACAGGACTTTAGGCCCTCAATGAGCATCTCCTGGCAGATACACTTACCCTTCTAATGCCCCTCCCCAGGTGGGCCTCCTGGAGTGCCTGCTGGCCTTTTCCTGCTTCTCTCCAGGGCAAACACTTCCCCGGAGTGTCTGCTAGAGGAAGCCACATGCGTATCACCCTGTGCAGTGTGTGAATAAGGACACGCCCTTAATGAAATGTAGACTATTTCCTAGGACCATGGTCGGCAAACTGCGGCTCTGGAGCCACATGCGGCTCTTTGACCCCTCGAGTGTGGCTCTTCCACAAACTACCACGGCCTGGGCGAGTCTATGTTGAAGAAGTGGCGTTAGAAGAAGTTTAAGTTTAAAAAATGTGGCTCTCCAAAGAAATTTCAATCATTGTTCTGTAGATATTTGGCTCTGTTGGCTAATGAGTTTGCCGACCACTGGCCTAGGAGGAGGGATGCTCTGAGCTAGTCCCATGGGCAGGGAATGCCTGGTCACAGGACAGGGGAACCGGAGGAGGGCTGCTGGAGGCAGGGCCTCAGGGGGTGGGCTTGAAGGCCCAGAGCACCTTGGCCCACACAGGAAGTGAGGAGAGGAAGGGAGTTTTCCTTGGCCCCACCCTCCAGCCAGGACAAGCTCCTCGGACCCGCTCCCCTCCCATCCTGGCTTTTCTCTCCACGCACCTCACAAAACGGAAGCCTTGCTTCTAGGGGGAAGCCATTATCTACTGATGGACCGGGTGTCACAGATTCTTCAAGATCACGGGCATGATGTCAGCTTTCTCCAACGGAGCGACCTGGATTTCCCATCAGGTATCACCTTTGTCTGTGGACTGGTACTGTCTAATTCCAACACCACCTGAGCCACACATACAAGCCCCATGATGTAACTGCTAAGATTCCAGAAGCCACATTAAACAATTAGAAAGAGACAGGTCAAACTAATTTTAATAACGTATTTTATTTAACTCCATATACCCAAAACATCATGTCTACATATAAACAATGCAAACATTATTAATGAGATACGTCACATTAGCTTCTATTAAGTCTTTGAAACCGGATGTGTGTTTTACAGTTCACACTAGCCACACTTCAAGGGCTCCAGGGGATCACGTGGACACTAGTGTTTGGGCCCTCCTTCTACAGATGGTAAGCTGTGAGTGCCTCGGACAAGCATGTTCTGCAAAACATCATGTTGGTCCTGAATGACTGTAGTGAAGAAAGATAGGTGTACTGGTGTAGGGCCGTCTTTGATTGTGCCCTTAGCAAAAGGAAGTCTGAAATGCTATTGGCTCGGTTCAGCTTCTCTATTCCTCTATCTCCCCCCTCACTGCATCCACAGCCCCTGCAGGCAAAGCCTGCACACACATTCCTGTAAATAAAATGCTGCTTTACTTACGTTGCTCGAAATCTTGCCTCTAGTTTGTGAAGATTGGATCAAAATGTTTTTCTGACTGGTAAGACTTCCAGGAAGGAAAAAAAAAAAAAGCAGTGAACCTGCAAGAGAAACTTATCAAACAGCTACTACAAGAAAAAGTTTAGAACTAGAGTACACAGGTCTTTATATTGAAAGGCCCCGTCTAGCACCTAACACAAAGAATAATCAAATAAAAAGACCCACGGCAAGGCAAATCATGGCAAAATTTCAGAATACCAATGATTAATAAAAATAACCTAAATATTTTCATATATTTCAATAATGAATAAGAAGACACAGAATGACATCAAGCTTTTTGGCATTGGCATTGCACACAGAAAAACCAATAAAATTCCGCAATGAAACAATCTCAAAGGCTTTCCTTTTCATATAAATTTAAGTTTTTCTAAAAGTAGAAGTAACGACAGGATTTAGGCTGATCAGAACAACGGGCAAACCGAGAAAGGGCCAGGGAATAGAATTGGTTGGCAAAACAAAAGCGTGGAAGATTTGTTGTTGGCATGGACAGCAGTCATCCGATTTTAACCAATGAGAGGATCTAGGAGGAACATCTCCTGGAAAAAACTCATTCAGTAAGTTGACCTAATTGAAAATTGTATCGAGAGAATATTGAATGGAGTTGAGACTGACCAACAGGCACAGAAACAAAAGAGAACAAACTCAATGAAACAAGTGAAAAAGGAAGGTGATAGCTAATTCTAGGGCCGAGAAAGGACACAAATGGAAAGAAATCACATGATGACATACTATTTGGCTTAAAAATGAATAAATTTTACATAGTCATCCTAATGTAAACTCAGAATATTTAATGCAATATTGTGACATGACTGAGAAGATGCTTCTTTGGACAGCTCTGACTCATTCCTGGGGATCTGGATGGCCATGTGCATATTGGAGGGGTGGGGGTGGGGGTTGTGCATGTGCTCAAGAAAGACCAGAGAAGGTCCTAACTGCTCACCAGTGGCTCGCTGGGAGCCTCTGAGCAGGAAGGAAATGAAGACTCTGGCAGCATCATAAACTTCCTGCCGGAGCAGTGAAAATGGGCCCACCACACACACACACACACAGCCCCTTGACAAGGGTTAGGGCACTATAGTTGCATGTCATTTGAGGAAATCTCAGCCTAATTAGACTAGATGACCAATCACTAACTGATTGGAGACTCTCATTGCTAAATATGACAGGCAGGTTAGGTTTCACAGAATTAGTTTTAGGAAAGGCATTATATAACAGTAACAACAACATCAATGATGAACAGCAGCAAAAGTAAACAGAATGGGGGAAATCATAACAACAAAATTTTATGAGACATACAAAGAAATAGGAAAATATGCCAACCTAAAGCAGTGAACAGAAACTGTCCATGAGAAAATTCAGACAATGGATTTACTAGACAAAGACTTTACATCAATGATTATAAATCTATTCAAGGACCTACAGAAAGTTGCATCTAAAGAACAAAATAAAAGTAAGAGAACAATGAGAGTGACTGATAATAAGTTTGAGATATCTTTTGAGGATGAGAAACGTTCTAAATTGGTTGTGCTTGTGCTTCTGGTTGCACAAACCTGCAGACTTACTAAAAACGTCTAACGTTTTTTAAAGGGGAATTTATGATCTGTGAGTTATATCTCAACAAGATGTTTTAGAGAAAAAATTGTGAGAAATAAATGATAAGGGTTTCAACATTCCTTTTATCATGCATAGGTGTGTGACATTTGATTAAATTTTCTCTTCTGTCTCTTCTTAGGTTTTAAAAGAGAGAAAACATACCAAAGTATCCATTGGTCTCCTCCTGATAAATTTAAACAGGAATTGAAGAAAATTTTAGATTTATTAACAAAGGAAGCTTTTCTGGGAAGGTAATCATTTCTTTAAAAAAAATAAAAGTAAAGAAATTATTATTTGAGAAATATGAATGAATGAATAGGAATATCTCCATCATCACTGAATCAATCACCAGGCAGTCTTAGGGATGTGGCACTCTGGTTAACATTCCCAGCATGTTCAGTTTTCAAGCCGGAATGAGTAGAAATATAAATTTTAAAAGACGCTTCCCTTTCTTAATCTCTCCAGCTCAGGGACAGTGCTGGGCAACTCACCATTCATCGCTGGATAGAGTCATAGTAACTCAGTTTTACTGCCTTCTGCTCCTTTCTGTCCTCATACACTTTTTGATGATGGGATCACTTACGAGGATTGACTTTTGGACAGCTTGAGCCTGGCCATTTACGGCTCATTCAGTGCAGGACTCTGGGACTCACTCTCAGCCTTCCAGACAGTAAGCCACGAGGCCACGCATCTGAAACTCAAAATAACAAGAAACGCTCACCTTGAGCATGAAATCACTGAAACGAAAACCATCCCTGTCTGAGTTAATGGGAAGTCCTTGCTCCGCCTTCATTTCTGCTAAATGACGCTTCTCCTCAGTGAAGGCATTTTTGAATACGTCCTCTTCCATAAAAATCTATTTTATTTACTCCATTTCTCCCTCCAAACTTCTCTATACCACTGTCTTAGCCGTGGATTAGAATAGCCGAACCATTTAATTTAGAAGCATGTGAGTGGTGGCCTGCCTGCGCTCTTTATGTGGGGCGGTGTGTGTGGTGTGGTGTGATGAACATTCCCTGTCCCTCTGCCCCCCGAACACAAGTCCTCCCTCCGCCTGCACATTCCAGTCACAGGGGAGCTTTGAAAGAATGCTTAGGCCTGCGTCCCACCTGCGGAATGTCTCATGTAAATTATTTGTGGTGAAATGCAGCCACCGACGTATTTGCAAGCTTCCCAGAAAGTACACAGGCAGGGTAGACACCGCCCCTGCCCGAGCTGTGTCTCTGCCTCTCCCTCCCCCCACGTCCCCTCCAGAGGACACAGGGCAGAGCTCTCTCCTGAGGATTTTAGGGGGGGAGGGAGGGCTTTGCTTTAGCAAGAGGGGGTCACACGGCTGACTGCCCACCATTCAGTTCATGAAGTGACTGCCTAGCTTTTATTTTATGTATGTATGTATGTATGTATGTATGTATTTATATTTTTTTGTTTTAAAATATGTTTTATTGATTTTTTTTTTTCAGAGAGGAAGGGAGAGGGATAGAGAGTTAGAAACATCGATGAGAGAGAAACATCCATCAGCTGCCTCCTGCACGTCCCCCACTGGGAATGTGCTCGAAACCAAGGTACTTGCCCTTGATTGGAATCAAACCTGGGATCCTTGAGTCCGCAGGCTGATGCTCTGTCCACTGAGCCACACCAGTTAGGGCTGGCACACAGCTCTTAGAGGTTGGCCATGCTGTCCCTCCACTTGTGTTCTTGGCACTCTGTCATTAAGATGCTGATTTCCCCAGGAAAACAAGTCCATGCATAGCTGTGTGGAGAGCAAGGTTAGCTTGGGATTGAAGGCCACACAGAGCATCCTCAATGAGCTTCAGCACGCAGCCAGGAGAGACAATCAGGGCACAGGCCACAGTGGGTAACATCTCCCCGAGCAGGCACGGCTTCCAAAGATGGTGGAAGGAGGGGAGGAAAGGAAGAGGGAAGAGAGCAGAGACACCCTAGGCATCAGAGAGGGTGGTAGCAGCGACAACAAGGGAATGGCCGGTGGGGTTGGAGGCAGAGAAATGACAGGTCTGGAGCAGACCATTCTTGGTCCAGGGGCCAGTAGGCAGGCGCTGTCAGACGTGCTTGTTCTTCGTGTGCTAAGGAAGGTTTTTCGAGAGATTGCAGGTGAGCACTTGCCACGAATGCTGAACATCTCTCCTTCCCTTTCTTCCCCAGGAACTCATTCCGACCCTTTTTGGAGATAATGAAGCTGTTTGGGACTCACTGCAGTGATGTGCTGGGGAGGACAGATATCATGGGCCCCTTACACAACGGGAGCTTCGACCTGGTGGTGGTGGATGGCTTAGATCTCTGCGCGTTCCTGATCGCCGAGAAGCTGGCCAGGCCCTTTGTGGCTGTGCTGGCCACCACGTTTGGAGTGACGAGTTTTGGGCTGCCCGAGCCAGTGTCCTACGTCCCGGACTTCCACTCCTCCCTGACCGACCGCATGGACTTCTGGGGCCGAGTGACCAACTCTCTGATGTTCTTCATCTCTCCCTGGAGGCAGCGGTACATCCACGGTCTGATGGAGAGCACCATCAGAGAGCATTTCCTGGAGGGCTCGAGGCCGGACTTATGTCACCTTCAGCAGAAGGCAGAGCTGTGGTTTGTTAATTCTGACTTTGCCTTTGACTTTGCCCGGCCCCTGCTCCCTAACACGGTGTATGTGGGCGGCCTGATGGCCAAGCCTGTGGAGCCAATACCTCAGGTGAGTGAACACTGTGTGCGGTTTTACATAGAAATTGCAACACATTTCTCCCAGGTGACCAGACCAGTTTTATGCTGCCAGAGCTGTACTTACTCCACATCCACCTGGGTGTTGTTGGTCTCTTTGTCTGAGCTGTTTTGGTGGCTCAACATGCTGCCTCCAGTTTCGGGCTTTTGTTTTGTTTTTATTTGTTTTGTAAAAAAAAAAAAAAAAAAAAAAAAAAAAAAAAATATATATATATATATATATATATATACACACACACACACACACACATATATGTGTGTGTATGTATGTGTGTGTATGTGTATATATATATATATATATATATATATATATATATATATATATATACTTATTGATTTCAGAGAGGAAGAAGCACCTGAGACTCACTGTGTCAGTTGTGACTCAGGGATCCCGAGTCTGTCTCCCTAGCTGTCCTCCAGCCCTACGTACTTCTGCTGCTTCCCAGTAGGGGGAGAAGAGATCTAGCTTACTGACCCCATGGGGATCCAGCTTATTTCCCAGGCTCCTCTGGGGGAGCTCACGGTGCAGGGGGAAGGCAGGGTTGGTACGGTCCTCTGGAGGGTGCTATTGAAAACCGCCCCCTGTCTTCCTCCCGGACCCCTAAGAGAACTTGAATTTTAACTCCTCAAATTCCAAAGCCTGGAGAGAGGATGGACCAGCCTGAGGTCCTGAGACATCGAGGCTCAGAAAACTCCTGCGGGCCATCCGGCCGCAGTAGATGGGAACCTGTGGGAAGGGGAGGCGCCCAGGGGTCACGTGAGAGGTGTGTGTGCTCATGGGCAGGGGGACTTGCTGTGGCCAGGCGGCCACGTGACCGTCTTCGCTCTCTCCAGGATCTGGAGGACTTCATCGCCCAGTTCGGTGAGGCGGGCTTCGTGCTGGTGGCCCTGGGCACCATCGTGGACGTGGCTGGGTCCCGGCAGGCCCTGGAGCAGATGCACAGGGCCTTCGCGCAGCTGCCGCAGGGGGTGATATGGAAGTGCAGCCCTTCTCTGTGGCCCGAAGACATCCCACTGGCAGCCAACGTGAAACTCATGCACTGGCTTCCTCAGAGCGACCTGTTGGGTAAGGGCCCCCTCTATGCGGGCAGCTGCCGTGTCTGCCTTTCTCGCTCGAGTCACTTGTCCTTCGGGGTTCGTGGCAGCCCTCACCCCAACCCGGGCCCTCCCCCATCACGTGAAAGGAAAGCGTGTGTGAGCGAGAGGCCGAGTACCAGGAAAGCTTGGCGTTCTGGGCTCACTTCATTCATGTGTGCCCAGCCCCGTTATCTCTGCCACCAGCCACCTTCCAGTGGGCGACATGCAATGGGCAGGGGATGGGGAGCAGCCAAACCACCCAAGAGGAGCCCATCAGTGCTTTGGGACGCACCTGTGCCCACAGGAGGGAAGTCCCTGCCGCACTGTGGCCTCCAGCCGCCTGCTCTTTACACACAGACCTGGAGCTAGCTCTTCCTCACCCGAGGTGGCCTTGCTGTGTGACAGTATTCCTCACCGTCCTGTCTGACAGTCACCAGCGGGCTTCCTCTCTGGCCTGCGCTGCCCTCTGGGGACACCTCATGGGCATAGTGGCAGATGGGATCTGAATGCCCCAGTGAACTGGAGATATAGGTGCTGGTTCTCCTCCTGCAAATGTATTTCGCTGGCCTGCGGGAGAGGCCAAGCATTGCTCTCTACAAAAGCACGTTGTTTCCCAGTTCCTGGGCTGGACAAATGCTTCCTCAGCCTTTATTTTGCTCCAAATGAGAGAGGGGCAGTGGGACTGGGACTGGCGATACTAAGGCATAAGGCACATCCCTGCTTAAGGAGATGTGGAGGGATGCCGAGCGGATAGAGGTACCAGCGCTGAGCTTAGTTCTGTCTCCGCATTCTCGGCTGCAGCTGGTCTTAGACACATGCTTCTGAGGGTGCTCACAGAGTGTCTCCCAGGCAGTTGCCTCTTTACATTGGTTCCCAGATGCCTGTAGATCCCCTTATCACAATGCCGCCTTCCCAAGTTCTGGAAACTCCTTCTTAGGCCTCATCCTTCCTCTTGTTCCTCTTTGTCCTAGCTCACCCCAGCATCCGCTTGTTTGTCACCCACGGAGGGATGAACAGTGTGATGGAATCCATCCAGCATGGCGTGCCCATGGTGGGCATTCCTCTCCTTGTGGACCAGCCTGGAAACTTCATCCGAGTAGAAGCCAAACATCTGGGCGTCTCCATCCCCATCGAACAGCTCAATGCAGAGACCCTGGCTCTTAAGATGAAACAAGTCATCGGAGACAAGAGGTATGTAATGGATCTGGCCCAGACTCATGTTCGAAACACTCTCTGTAGACCTATGTTGATTTCCAAATAGCTGTCTGCAACCCAAACCTTCCTGCTCATCGCAGTACATCTTATCACCCTGCTGACTGGCATCTCTTCTTCATCGTCGAGCAGGCATCTTAAACTTACCATGGCCAGATTTCAGCTTTGGCCTGGCCCAACACCCTTCAGCCTGCTGATCAAATCTCCATGCTGTAAATTGTGACTCCATTTTTCCTGTTTATCAGGCCCCGAATTTAGGCGTCTTTCATTTAAAGTCTGTAAAAATGTACATAACAAACACAAGGAAGAATAAGAATGGAAATAACAAATGTAATTCAAGTTCATAGAATTATTTATTGTTCCAGGCTTTATAACCCAAAGAACTTGCTAATTTAAAATTTATTTTTTAGTGATTTAATTTCATTTAGGACAGGAACATTTCAAGAAAAGTCCAATTTGGGAATCCTTCAGAAATTCATTCTGTATGTATATGGTCAGAATCAGCTTCGGCCTGAGAATTGGTGGAATATTTAACATTTGACCTTTGACATTCCTTTGAACTGATCATAGCGTGTATATGCATATTCATGCAAATATACAGAATGTGCATATATACATACATATGTATATACACATGTATATGCCCCTATGTGTGTGTGTGTATCTGTATAGCATGCATATATACATATATATATAAACAAAATATGCATATACGTTTATATGTCTGCACACACATACATAAATATACACAATATATATATTTGCACATTGTATGTGTGTGCGCTTCTGCCAACAGCTACAAGTCGGCAGCAGTGGCCGCCAGCATCATCCGGCGCTCTCACCCCCTGACCCCTGTCCAGCGGCTGGTGGGCTGGATCGACCACATTCTTCAGACCGGGGGAGCGGCCCACCTCAAGCCCTACGCCTTCCAGCAGCCGTGGTACGAGCAGTACCTGCTGGACGTCTTCCTGTTCCTGCTGGGGGTCGCCCTGGGCGCCGTGTGGCTCTGTGGGAAGCTGCTGGGCCTAGTGGCCCGGGGGCTGTGCGGGGCCAGGAAGCTGAAGAGAGCCTGACGCACAGAGCGGATCTGGAGGGGTGCCGGGGAGCCGCTGGTTCCCTGGAGACTTCCCCCAGCACAGGCCTCCGGGGGTCCCTCTCACTTCCAAGTGGGTCATGGCACCAGAATGGCTTCTCACTCTTTTCTGCCTCTGTTTAGACTAAGGTGACCAGATTTTAACATTGGTAAAGTGGGACACCATTGACCCAGGGCGGGAGGGGGTAGGAGGGGAGGGTTCTTGATTAAAAATTTGGTCTATATGGAGCAACAAAAATTTTCATAGAACGCAAAAATAGTATTGAAATATATATTTTTAAAATTTCAACATAAGTACAATTCACAAATATAATAAATAAATAAAATTATGTCTAGTATCATTTTATTCTTTGGCATATTTCTCATTTGAGTGAATTTTTTTTTAGTAGATTGCTGTCGTTGTTTAAAAGGTCATGAAATTTTTCACAAGAATTGGTTAAATTATATTTCACACATAAAATGGCTTCCAAAGTCTCAACACTTAATTGTGATTTTTCTGATGTCCACATTTTATTTACCGTAGAAAAAAACACATTCAGTCGCAGCATTAGTTCCTGGTAAGGACAGTGCGCATTCCACAATTCTAACAACTGATCAACAATGCAAACTTTGATTAGCAGTTCTCAATAATCAGTTCTCAACAATTATTTGTTATTATTTAAGTTTAACATTATAAAATTAACAAAAATAATATAAAACTCATATCCTGGCTAACTAGCCACATGGCCGCCGAAAAGCGTATATTCCCTTCCCATTCTCCCGCCGCTCCCTAGCTTGTGCATTCTTTCCAAAAATCGGGATTTTTTTTAAAATGCCGCGGGACACGGGACAAATTGCCAAAAGTGGGACGTCTGGTCATCTTAATTTAGATAGTCTTATGCAGCCATCATGGACTTCTTTTTAAAAATTATGGTAAAAGATGCATCACATAAAATTGACCATTTTAACTATCCGGTATTCAGTTCAGTGGCATTGAGTGCATTCATATGTTTGTGCAAATATCACTACTGTCCAATTCCATGATTTTTTCATCTTCCCAAATTAAAACTGGGCACTAATTAAAGAATAATTGCCCATTTCCCCGTTCCCACTCCCAGCCCCGGGAACCTGCGTTCTACTTCCTGTGTCTATGTACTGGACCTGGCTTCTTGACTTGCCCCTCACCCATGAACCCCTCTATTCAGCCTCAAACCATCACCAGATGGCTCCCCTTCCTTCGCACTCCCTGTCCCTAGACTCAGTGCTCTAGTTCTCCCCGGTCTGGGAGATTCTTCTTCTTACACTTTTGATGAATAGGACGAGATATTCGGCCAGTTCTTCCACTTTGGACCAACCTCTTGCATCTCCTTCTCATCTCACTCAAAGCTCAGAGGCCTGTCCTCCCCGCGGTGAGCAGGGACCGCCCCTTCCTGGACCCCCCCCACCCCCACCATCTCTGTCCATGTCCCTGTCATAGTAATAGTAAAGGATAAATATAATATTGAATAAATGTTAAAGTGTGGAATTGAAGGGGGATATCTGAAAGTATGGAATGGAATGTAAACAAAATATAAGCACCCTTGAGTGACCTGTATGTAGGAAATAGATAAAGTGACCTGTACCCCATATGTAAGACCAGATAGCAAGGCTCCTGGGACCCGCTGATAAGACACACTGAAGACACATAAAAAGAGGAAGCTCCACAGGAGATCAGAGACGTTCCCTCTGCTCCTCCACAGAGGGTCGCTCTCTACTTCCGCTGCCTGCACCAGTCAAAGCTCTGCCTGAGCTGCGAGCCCCGAACCCTGAGCCACAGACTATGAGCCATCCCGGGAGGCCTCAACTCAAGCCGAGCTGCAGCTGCAAAGTCCTCCGTGAACCGTGTGTGTGTGTGTGTGTGTGTGTGTGTGTGTGTCTGTTAGTGCTGATCCCCGGGTGGCCTGCCTAGGATTCTGGAACCCACCAGGACTCTGGTAAATAAACCCTGAGTGATGCGTGCATTGTATGTTTGTCTGCTGTGTAATTTATGCTCGGTGGAATTATTAATTAAGTACCTAGGGTTGTATGTGCCAGATTTCTGGCTGAGGCACCCTAGGTCACCTGTGCTTAGGTCACTTATGGAATCATCGGGACAGTCCCCTCCTACGAAGCTCCTCCTTTGCTGGGCCTGAGAGGGGGCCTGCCTTGGTTCCACAGGTGATGCCGGGTTCCACTGTCCTCAGTGCCCTTCTCCAGGTTCCCACGGTCAGAGATGAGGTAACAGAAGCCAAGGGGAGGTCCGGACCCCACATGGAAGGCTTTGGGGCCTCAGGTGCCGTGGCCATAGTGGTGCCCCAGACTGTCTTGATTTAGGAAACATTCCACTTGCCACCCCCCCCCTCCCGTCCCCCTCACCCCTGCGGTAGAGAATATTCATTTAGGTCAGCGGTTCTCAACCTTTCTGATGCCACGACCCTTTAATACAGCTACTCATGTTGTGGTGATCCCCAGCCATAGAATTATTTTCATTGCTACTTCATAACTGTAGTTTTGCTACTGTTAATTTATCATAATGTAAGTGTCTGTGATCTCTGATGGTCTTAGGCGACTCACAGGTTGAGAACTGCTGCTGTAGAGCCTAAGACCAATGGAAAACACAGATATTTACATTATGATACATAACAGTAGCAAAATTACAGTTATGAAGTAGCAACAAAAATAATTTTATGTTTGGAGGTCACCACAACATGAGGAACTGTGTAAAAGGCATTAGAAAGGTTGAGAACCACTGCTCTAGGCAGAAAATCCGGTGGAGGCTCCATTGCATGGAAGCCAAGGCCACTCTGACTTGTGCCTGGCGACCTCTCCGGACACATATCTTCTGAAATAGACACACACTAGGATGTTCAGTTGGTTTTTGACAAAGATGCCATGAGAATTCCATGGAAAAAGTAAAATCTTTCCAGCAAATTGTACTGGAACAATGGCATATCTGAATGGGATTTGATCTAAATAACATACACAGGAGACATTGACTGTTGCTTCTTACCATACAGGAAAATTAACTCAAATGAACTTAAAATGTATCATAGATCTAAAAATGCTGAGCCTACAGAAATTCTAGAAGAAAGTCTTTGCACTCTTATGGTGGGCGCCGGGGGAGATGGCATCTTATGGAGGTGTGGATGTGGGCGGGGGAGGGAAACCCAGTCCCTGCCACTGCACCTGCCTGCTCCCCCGTGTGCTGCTTTAAGTGTCACCTGATGATGACACTGCCTGGCAGCGAGCCCTCCGGGGACACCAGGAGGCCGGGGAAGGGGTGCCTAAGAGCAGTCAGAGAATTTGCTTGATGCTCTCTTACAAAACACGGAGGCAAGTTCCGATGCCTTTCCAGAAACCAAACAGTTGCCAGTGAAACTTCCCTCTGGCTTTTCTCTTTGGGCCTCCAGGCTTCCACAGCCCCTGGGTTTCCTAGGCAACCACAGTGTAAACTTGAGAAAAGGCCCGGCCTGGCTAGGGATTGACAGAGAGCTGAGCCAATCAGGCTGTGAGTCTGCAGCCCGTATTCCTGGCCATCCAATTGGCAGGGAGAGGGCAGGCCAGGAGGTGTGAGGACAGGTGAGAGGGGGGAGGCGAAGGGGAGGGGAGGGGCCTGTCTTCCAGATGCAGGAGAGAGCGTCCATAGTTTCAGTTCCAAGCAACTGGTGGCAACAGGTGAGCATTTAAGGTAAGTCAGCTTTCACAAATTTGCTATGTTGATTTAATCACTTTCACTTTGTTTTGGCTAAATAACAACAACAACAACAATAATGAGAAGATAGATGGTACTTTCCAAAGAGGAACTCTAAGCTCTTGCCGGCCACATCTCTGGGCAGAGGGGCCGCGATGCAGGGGTACAGCCATGCATGTCATTCGGGGAAGGGGAAGGACAGGAGCGGGGCTGAGCAGCCCCTGTGCGGTGGGTACTGGGGCGCGCAGTATTTGGGGGACCATGGGTAAAACTGAGTCAGGCAGCGTAAATGAGGGAGGGAAGAACGAGAGAGAAGGTGCTGGAAAGGAGTGGTCAGAATGATACAGCAAAGCGTCTAGAACGGAGAGGGCAGGAATGAGGCCAGCGATGGCAGTGATGGAAATGCAGGTCCAGGAGCCAGCTGTCCCCAAGGTCACCAGCACCGGTGGTTGGAGAAGGACCCTGGGCGGGGGAAGGAGCTGCCGGCTGCATTTGGAGCTTTCCGAGGAGACCAGCTTGGGCTGGTGACCAAATGCCAGAGACAGACGGTCTTGGGGAGGCCTGCGGAGAGAGGGAGCAGGGGAGGCCGGGAGAATCCAGGAGCCCCAGAACCTCGCTGCTGCCTAGCACCTCTTAATTTTTCTGGAAGTTTCAGTTTCGAGCATGAAGGACACAAACAACTGGCTGGGGTTCTAAGTGGCAGTAAATAAACACCCAACAGGCCAGCGGCTCCAAATGGAGCATCCTCAGAGACTGTGAAGTCATCACACGCAGGTGACTGTGGTGGGTCACGTTGCAGAAGCCAAATGGAGGTTGGAGCTATGGCTCCCCGCCATCTGCAGGTGGAGGACCAGCTCAGTGGGGTTTGTCCTGGCAGCGGGTTTGGGATCCGAACAACGAGGGGCATTTGGAAACCTCCTGCTGGGTGGTTGGTTCTGAGAGTTTAGTCCTGACACCTGCAAGCTCGGGACAAGCGCTGTTCCTCTGGGTTTTTCCGGAGGACAAAGTCAGCGGAAGCCGTGCGTCCTTCCTGCAGGTCAGACATTCTCTCACTCTGCTTCTGTAAGGCCTTCCAGCTGCCCGGCTGCCTGGCCCAGAACAGATTGCCAGTGATTTCTTGGGAAAACCCCAGAGATTCGAGGCGGAGCAGAGGGACGAGGGAGAGGGAGGAGGGGGCCAGGAGACGGCTAGGAGACAGCTGGGGTGGGAGACGCCCAGGGGAAGCGCATGATGACAAGGACCGGTCACACCCACGTTGTGCTAGTTGGGTGGGTCCTGAGAACCACGCTAAGCAGTTTCTCTCTCCCTTTTGTAGCCAGAGACTGCTGAATGTGGATTAAATGCTACCGAGAGAAGAGGGGGCCGGACCTCTCCCTCACTGGGCTGCTAGTTAGTTCACCTCTCAACCACACTTGGTTGCTAGTTAGTTCACCCGGGCCAAGGTCAGTCACCAGGGCCAACCCAGACACGGCAGGAGGAAGCGTTTGGCGATTGTAACCATTAGGAAAACCTTTGGCTGCAGTCACAGTGGCCCTGACTGACAGTGGAGTCAACAAATAGAAGCTTATGTTTCTCCCGGGACAGGACCGTGACATCAGGCGTGAGGCCTCTAAGTTGGTATCTGGACTCACTTGGCTCTGCCTCATGGTTGCATAAAGGCTGCAGCCGCTCCAGACATTGCATGTGTGAGATCCCTTCATTTTACAGCTGCATCATATCCCATTGTGTAAAGTCCCCCAGCTTTTTAATTTCCCCCCATTTTTTAATTAAGGTGTTATGTGTACATATCTTATCATTGCCCACCCCACTCCCATACATGCCCTCACCCCCAGAGTTTTGTGTCCATTGGTTATGCTTATATGCATGCACACACATTCTCCCATTGATCTCTTATCTCCCTCACCTCTCCCTAACCTTCCCGGTGTAATTTGACATTCTGTTTGATGCTTTACTGTCTCTGCATCTATCTTTTCGTTCACCAGTTTATAATGTTCTTTATTATCCACAAATGAGTGAGATCCTGTGGTATTTTTCTTTCATTGACTGGCTTATTTCACTTAGCACAATGCTCTCCAGTTCCACCCAGATTGCTGCAACTGGTAAGAATTCCTTCTTTTTTATGGCAGCATAGTATTCCATTGTGCAGATGTACCATAACTTTCTGATCCACTCATCTGCTGACGGGCACCTGGGCACTGCATTTTTGTTCAAGGCACGAGGAGGCAGAGCGACAGGAGCATTCTCCTGAGCCCTCAGAACTCCCAGGGGGGTCCTTTGGGCCAGAACCTGTTTCATGCGGCCGCCAACTGAAGAAATGCACCGAAGAAAAGAGGCTAGGATGGCCTTTGAGTCAGCCAGGTGCTGGAACATGTTTGTAATTCAGATTCAGCACAATGAAAGCTATCCCGAGAAGGGCAGGCGCCTGACAGGGACCTTGGTGGTGTCCTTCACTGCTAGTGCTTGGCACCTAATAAGTATTAAATAAACTTCATGTTGCAGTTTATTTAATACTTATTAGGTGCCACGCGATAGCAGAGAAGTTCCCCCTTTCTCAGGGGGAGCTTCTTAAGGACTCCCAGTTTTCACCATCTACCACGTACTATAGCTAACTGTAGAATGGACTGAGTCTGAGAGGTGGCAGCCATTGTCTTCAAGGACACAAACTCCACTGAGTCTCAGTCAGAATGTCAGTCTCACAGCCAGGCCCCAAGTAGAGAAAGAGAGAGAGAGGAAAACACGGCAGGTCGGCCTTCCGACGGGGTGGTCCCTGTGCGCAGGGTCAGGCGCTAGCAGTTTGGACTTGGACGCAAACTTCATGTGAGGCAAATCCATTTCCTGTCGGGGAACGGGCGTGAGGCCCCACAAGTGCAACCAGTAGCTTCCGGCTCTTCACATGGGCTTTTTCCTCTCTCCCCTCTAAAGAGCAGAATGTTTTCTAAGATCACATAGTGCTTTTTAAAAAATATATTTTATAGATTTTTTTTACGGAGAGGAAGGGAGAGGGATAGAGTTAGAAACATCAATGAGAGAGAAACATCGATCAGCTGCCTCCTGCACACTCCCCACTGGGGATGTGCCTGCAACCAGGGCACATACCCTTGACCGGAATCGAACCTGGGACCCTTCAGTCTGCAGGCTGACGCTCTAGCCACTGAGCCAAACCGGTCAGGGCTCACATGGCGCTCTCACAGCAACTCCAGGCCCCTGATATTGAAGTGGCCCCTGTGATGGCACAGGTGGTGCCTAATATGTGAAGGTAAAGCATTGTGAGGCCTGGCTGTGGGCGACTGGGCTTGATGGCTTCCAGGCGGGAGAGGCCTTGGGAGAGACTGGACTGCTCTGCAGGTAGCTCTCACAGGCAGGGCTATGCCATCTGTTCCATAGGGCACCTCTTTCCCATGCACACTGGCCCCATCTGTCTCAGCATCCCACGCCGGGCTGCAGAGGGCTGTGCAGGGACCTCCCCGCCCAGCCAGGTGGGCCTGCTCTCCTCCTCAGTGGGTGGCCAGGACTCACCTGTCTCCACTCCGCACCCACGTGCTTGAGTGCCCGCCTGATTCCTAATTGTGCTCCCCTGGCCCCCCTTGCTCTTCCACAGAACACCCCTCCTCCGAGCTCACCACACCTGAAAGAGGAAAACTGGGGTGTAGTGTCAGAGAACCCAAAGTGGGAGGGTTCTTCAGAGGGCGGAGGGAGAGGTTTCCTTTGGATTTTGCATCAGAGGGAAATTGGGGTGCTTTCTCTTTATGGATGTCTGGGGCGCCCTCTTTGGCCCTAAGACCATCCTCTGTTGGCTGTAGACTCAACCCAGCATTGCGGGCAGCGGGAGACAGGGAGGTGGAGATTAGAATGTGTAATTCAGTTCATGGCCACTAGGAGGCACCAAAGACCACCAAAAAAAGTGCAGCCTGGAGTTGGGGCGTTTCCTCCCTCTCCCAGTCAGTTTAACTCTGTCCCTGAATTCAGCCAGAGGACTCCCGTGGACTCTGCTGGGAATCAGACGACAAGCCTCCACGAAGTGTCAGCTTTCCATTGTCCGGCCCACAGGGGTCCTGGAGACCCAGGCAGAGAGCTCTGATGGTGGCAGGCGGCTGGGCCCAAGGACGCAGGAGCCTGGTGGCCGTGGCCACAAAGTGTCCGTGGACTCTGCTGCTGGTGCCTCCACCCAGCCTGTGCCCCAGCTCCAGGCCTGCGCACCGCATTGCTCCGTGACGGTCCCTTCTCACTGGCCACGGGGCGGGGGTGGGAGTGGGGAGCCGGAGAGAGAGAGCTCTGGATGCCACTCCTGGGCCCTCTCCCTCCCTCAGATGGCACGCTCAGGTCGCTCTGTCTCCTCCGTCCACACGGCCAGGCCTCCTTCCAGGCTGAAATACCTCTCCCCCGACTGTCCCCCGCCATTGTCACCAGCGTGGCCTCTCCCTTCCTACTGGCCAGCCCGCCTCCCTGTCCGCCCTCCACATGGCTTCCCGAGGGCCCTTCTATGGGGCAGACCGAACCCCTCATCTGAACACGCTGGGTCTCTTGTTGCTCTCAGCGCGGAACCCAAACTCCCCACCTGGTGTCCCAGGCTCTGTTTTGTGGGAGCCCCTTTCATGTCCTGTGTGGTTCAGGGTTCCCGTTCAGGGTTCGGGTTCTGGAGAAGGCTGCACGCAAATGAAGAGAGGCTGGAAAAGAATTAATTGTGGGAAGGAGGGGAAGAGACAGAGAGAGGAACATTGAGGTGAGAGAGACACATAGATTGGTTGCCTCCCACAGGCGCCCTGACCAGCCTGCAACCGATGTATGTGCCCTGGGCCAGAATGGGACTCCACCACTAGGGGGAGGATTACCCCTGCTCTGGCCTTGCTATCCCTTTTATTGAGGTTATGGGATACACCCATATCATTTAGGCAGGAAATTCCAATAATAGCCAATCAGCTAGCATTGACATATGACTAACAGGTGGAGGTTGCTTTAACTACCAATGTCTCAACTAAACAATGAGGGATTAGCTCCAACCTTTCAGAGCAATTACGGTTGACCAGCCTTCCGGATTCCCTGTCCACATCTCTCTATGAGGGACAACGATCGGTTTCCCGCACTGTGTGATCTGCCCAGGCTCCCCTGTCTCCAGTTTCCCCTCCCCGCCTCCCTCCCCATCTCCACACCTCTCTACCTAGAACCCCTACTCCCCCACACTTCCCAGTCACACTAACACACCTGCACCTGCTGTTTTCTCGCTCACTGTCCCCTGTGCTCGGGAATGTGCAATGCCCCCCTCCCTCCCTCCCCAGGACCCCAGCTGAGGAGCTGCCCCTTGCTTTAGGGCACATGTGTCAAACACAAGGCCCGCGGGCCAAATCCGTCCCGCCAGGCCTTGCAATGTGGCCCGCACCGCGCTGTCATCACTGCACTCCGCTGCGTTTCCATCACAATGACAGTTTATGACTGTTCAGTAAACCATTCGGCCCGCGATTTAGGCTGGATTTTAGATTTTGGCCCCTTCTCTGATTGAGTTCGACACCCCTACTTTAGGATGAAAGCTGAGCTCTCCTCCTGAGGGGCCTTCAGAAAGCCCCACTCTCAGTGGGGGGCTGCCCTTCCCCCAAGTGTGGCAGCTCAGTGGTGGGGTGCGCCTCCCCCTCCTGCAGGCCCTCAGCACTGGGTCACGGCCTCTCCAGCCCCAGCCTGTGCTCTGCACCTGCTAAGCCTTTGCACACACTCGTTGAAGGAACGGACCCATAGCACCTGGCCCAGGGGATGCGCAGATGCGAAGCAAACATCAGGGGGCGCTGCGGCTACGTGCATCGGATGGTCAGCATCTTCGGTCCTCGCAGGGCCCAGCTAGACGGGCTCTCTTGTGACCACGCAGACTCCCGAGGCTCAGACAGGGCTTAGTGCAGGCAGGGAGGCTGTGTGCAGCGCTGCGATCTCGGGGGTACCTGCTTTGGGACAGACCCCTGCCCTGGTGCCTGGTGCCTTCGTGCACGAGTCACGGGCCTCCAGGCACTGCTGGGCGGGTCCTTAGAACGCGGACCACCTGCAGGAGCCTGAACATTGCTCAGGGACCCCAAAGAGCTGCAGCTCGCCCCCCCTTCTGCATGTTTAAAACAGGCGGAACCAGAGGGGAAAAAAGAAAAGACAAATCTGTCTGAGAGCGATGGTGCCTGTTCACCTGTTTCTGTCCTGAGAACCCCGTCAGGTGTTCGATGGGCCCTAACCTGTGAGCCCAGGAGAACACGCCAGCTGCTGGGAGGAACTGGGGTGGAGGATCTCAGGGAAGGCAGAAGCAATAACCACGAGGGGCTGGACCCAACAGGAGAACGTGACACGCGGAGTCAGAGGGAAAGCGGAGAATTCTGAGTGAGAGAATAGAGCAGAGCTCCCGCCAGTTTGGCTTGGGGGACAGAGCATCGGCCCCCAGGCTGAAGGGTCCTGGGTTCCATTCTGGTCCAGGGCACGTACCTCGATTGCAGGCTGGATCCCGTGGGAGTGCCTGTGGGAGGCAACCGATCGATGTGTCTCTCTCACCTCGATGTGTCTCTCTCTGTCTCCCCCGCTCCCCCCTCCCCCACCCACACACTCTATCTAAAACTAAATGGGAAAATACCTTTGGGTGAGGATTAACAACAGCAAAAGCGTACTGCACAGAAGCTTGGCTCAGAGGGAGCGGAAAGGAGAGGGAAGCGCGCCATGGGGTGGGAGGGCTCAGAGTGGGAGGAGTGGCAGCATGCCTGACACTGTGTCCAGGCTGGAGAAATGAGAGGTCCGCAGGAGCCGTAAGTAAGAAATCCGACCGGCACCCTGCGCCCGGGGACCCGGAGGTTTGAGAGGGTCCTTGGGGAGCGAGGGAGAGCAGGGCCACACGTGTCCCGCCAGAGGCAGGGGCCCAGGCCGCTCTGTGACGCTGTGGCTTCCCTCTCAGATGGCGGGGACGGCGCGCCACGACCGGGAGATGGCCATCCAGGCCAAGAAGAAGCTCTCCACGGCCACCGACCCCATCGAGAGGCTCCGGCTGCAGTGCCTGGCGCGGGGCTCTGCGGGCATCAAAGGGCTGGGCAGGTAGGACCCCAGGGTGGGCGATCAATCCCTGGGGACTGTGTTTGGTGCTCTGGGAGAGGAAGTCTGTGAAGCCGCTAAAACACAGGCAGAGGAGACTCTGCCTTTCCTCCTCATGGGCAGAGTGTGAGCATAATCTATTTGGAATTCCTCTAGAAGGGAAACCTTCTCTTTCCCCCATTGATTTATTCAATCGTGTACTTATACCAGTATGGACTCATGGGTATTTATTTCATTCTTTGGGTTGCAACCCAGCACTACTTTATTTTATTGCTCAAATTATTCTAGTTTTACCTTAGGGGTTCTTTCTGTTGGCTCCTAGGCCCCGATGGATGTACCCCATCTACATAGTGTTTTGTGTGTGTGTTTGGGGCATTTTCTTACTTTCTCCTACAAGATACTGAAGCTCATCCCACATATATTCTGCCCCTGAATTCGAGCCAGCAGTTTCTCTAAGAAGCCCACTTCTGCTTATTGGAGACTTGTGTTAGACACCAAGGTCTAGGCTCCAGAGGCGCTTCTGGTTGCCGGTGTGTCCCTTCTAGGTCCCCTGAGCTGACAGAACAAGGAGATATAAGTGTGTATATTAATCATCTATAGTTCTATAAATATTATATGTAATCATCCGTGCTTATGTCAAACTAAACTGGAGCTCATGTGGATGTCTCCAACTCTCACCTGTTACCAGGTGAATCGGGTCATTCTGGCCTCCTCCTCTACTAGCTTATCTACTCATCCTCTTCCCCACAGTGAGAAACCTGGCTCCACCATCTGCCATCCATTTACTTATTGTTCAGCTCCAACACCTACCCCCGGACTGGATCTCAGGCCGCAGTCATTAGCTCAGCTCCATGGGCAGCATCTTTATCAGCAGAGGGGAGTGCTGTGTCCCGTTCCTTGCCTCTTTAGTCTTACTGACTTGACTCAGTTCCAAAGTTGGTTACATCAGCTCCTACCTCAACTGCCCTTTAGTGAGCTTGTCTCACACCTTCCTAGTACAGCCAGAGCCACTGTCTAGCCCCAACCAGTTTGGCTCAGTGGATGGAGCATTGGCCTGCGGACTGAAGGGTCCTGGGTTCCATTCAGGCCAAGGGCATGTACCTTGGTTGTGGGCACATCCCCAGTGGGGAGTATGCAGGAGGCCACTGATCCATGTTTCTCTCTCATCGATATTTCTAACTCTCTATCCCTCTCTCTTCCTCTCTGTAAAAAATCAATAAAATACGTATATTAAGAAAAAAGATTCAGTGACTGGGATCTGACTGGGATCCCCTGGCCTCCTAAGTAGTTTTTTTTTTTTTTTTTTTTTAAAAAAACCACATACATTACTGATTATTGTCTGCACTGTACATGTTTATGGGCTTTAGCAGGTGCCTAATGTCATGTATCCACCACTGTCTGTCATGCAGAGTAGTGTCATTGCGAAATCCTGCATGGGTCACCTATTTGTTGCCTCCCCCATCTTTTGACTGTTTTTATAGTTTTTCAGAATGTCATTTAATTGGAATTACACTGTACATGTTCCTCCCAAAGTACTATTTTTATTTATTCTTTTTATTTTTATTTATTTTTTTTTTTGCTTTTATGGAATTCCGGGAAGAGGCTGGCCAGTTCCTGGAGGAGAGTGGGAAGAAGGACCTAAGGCTTTTGTATTTTACCTTGCAAAGCCCTGAAAGTGGCTTTCTTTTTAAGTCCCGTGCTCTGTGAGTTTTGAACAAATTGTGTGTGTATGTGTGTGTTTCCTTCAGAGTGTTTCGAATCATGGATGACAATAATAACCGAACTCTTGATTTCAAAGAATTCGTGAAAGGGTTGAATGACTATGCGGTGGTCATGGAAAAGGAGGAGGCCGAGGAGCTCTTCCGGAGGTTCGATAAAGATGGAAACGGAACCATCGACTTCAACGAGTTTCTCCTCACCTTGAGAGTAAGTGGCCCAGCACCAAGTGGGTCTGGCACGTGTGGCATCCACATGGTGTGGGCTGGAGACTGTGAGGTTTTGCTGTCGGAAGCGGGGAGGTGAGTGCTCTGTGCAGGTGATGGGTGGGAGGTGCAGAGCAGACGTAGGGCCCGGGGGGTGGTCATGTGCAAACCATGTCATGGCACACAGCTAACGAATTTCTCTAATTACGCATCCTGGAGAGGAATAGGTGTCTTACCACGTGGGGTACAGGAGAGCTCATTGCTGTGTCTGTCTGTGTGCTTTTCCTCCTGACCCAGCCTCCCATGTCCAGAGCCAGGAGGGAAGTGATCATGCAGGCGTTCCGCAAGCTGGACAAGACTGGAGACGGCGTCATCACCATCGAAGACCTCCGCGGGGTGTACAACGTGAAACACCATCCCAAGTACCAGAACGGAGACTGGTCTGAGGAGCAGGTGTTCCGGAAGTTTCTGGATAACTTTGACTCCCCCTATGACAAAGACGGATTGGTAAGTAAGGGTGTAATCAAAGTGGAATTTCTTCTGTCTAACCTGTAATTGTAAATATATAGGAAATAGGCCCAAAGCCTTAAAAATAATTATATTACGGATGCAATAACTAGAAGCAAAACATATCCTTAGTGAATACCTAGAAAGTTGAAGACTAGAGAAGTATGTGTGTGTGTGTGTGTGTGTGTGTGTGTGTGTGTGTATGGGTGAGTATACATATATCAGTAGGGGATCTGCCAACAGCTAGTTACCCATCACCTGGAGAATGGGCTATTTGGACTAAACATTCCATTTCATGTTATCGTATGTAGTACACACTTTCCAATGAATTAGATGATAAAAACATATTTACTTCAAAATGAGACCATAATTCAATATTTTGGGCTTTTCAGAACATTGCTGTGTTTTACACACAATCTCATTTGTTGTCACACTTTCTCTGTGGAAATGCTATTTCAGGGAAGTTTTCGGTGAAAGGAAAGCCAGATGGCAGAATTTATTCTGATTTCCTCTTCAGCAGGCTTTGCAATTAACTTGCATTTCTAAAGCACAGTAAACTTAAAGCTAAGTGAAATAGGCCCATCAGAGAAAGACAAGTGCCATCTGATTTCACTCATATGTGCAATCTAATTAACAAAATAGAAACAGACTCATAGATACAGAGAACAGACTGACAGCTGTCAGAGGGAAGCGGGGTGAGGAGGGTGGGTGAAAAAGGTGAAAGAATTAAGCCAAAAAACAACAAACAAAAACAAAACTCATATACACAGACAGCAATGTGAGGATTCCCAGAGGGAAAGAGCGGGGGGGTGAGGGGTAGGAGAGGGGAAAGGGCTGATGAATGGCGATAGAAGGAGGTGGTGAACACACAATACAATATACAGATGGTGTGTTGTAGAATTGAGAGAGAGAGAGAGAGAGCGCGCGCAACTACTTCCTCTCCACTAACTTTGTTTTCAAGTTACAAATGCATAGCTTGGTAGGTTCAAGAATTATATCTTTTCTTTTAAAAAAATTTAAATTGATTTGTATAGAGAGAGGAAGGAAGAGGGAGAGAGAGATAGAAACATTGATGAGAGAGGAACATATCCATGGGCTGCCTCCTGCACACCCCCTACTGGGGATCAAACCTGCAACCAGGGCTTTGAACCCTGACCTCCTGGTTCCCGGGTTGATGCTCAGTTGCAGAGCAACACTGGCTGGGCAGGAATTATATCTTTATAATTATGTTTAGACTGAGACCAAAATGCCATGAGTCTTATCCACAGCCATCAATGGACTTTGGGACCCAGAACCAGCTCTGCTCTTGGGGGACCTGAAGGCCATGGTGATGAGGGAAGGGCATTCTCTCTTGGGTTGGTAGTCAGCTGGGCAGACCCCTGGGGAGGCATCCCCACCCCTGGTGCCACACAAGAAGGGTTAGGGGGACAGTGTGCGAGAGGGAGACATGGCGGTGACAGGAAGAGGAGACTGGCCTCCCCCTCCTGAGGGACTTTCCCCCACCTTCCCACGAAGCATCCTGGGGAGTCCTGTTAGGGGGTGAGCAGGACAGGGGCGAGCACTTTGTCTTTCTGCTGGCATCTTCCTGCCAGGGACAGAGACAGGTCCTCCACGTTAGACTGAGGGGGCCGCGGGGTAGACTGAAAACGGGGGGAGCATGTCCCAGATCCATGGAGCAGATGCTTGGGGACGGAGACAGCAGACCTCTTTGTTTTCTTCTATTCTTGCTGTTCTTTGATCTGTGGAAAAATAGCCAACTGCCGTTTCCCCAATTTAGCCCAGAGCCACCTGGGATCCGGGGGGTGCTGGCCTGCGTCCTGCAGGTGGTTCCTCCCCGTTGCCACGGGAAACCCAGGCGGCGCAGCCAGGGGTTGTGATTCAGCTGATTCAAGCTCCCGCCCTCTCCCTGTGACATTTGTCTGAGCACAGGGGAAGCTCTCAAAGGTCACTGGGGCTGGCAGCAGTTAGCACCCCGTCACCTGACTGCCACCACCTCTGTGTTGATGCTCCATTCTGACTGTGCATTGTCATCATTCATATTTTTTTTTTCAAATTAATGATGTAAATTCCTGGCCACATGGCAAAAGGACAGAATCTGATTTTTTTTTTTTTTTTTTTTTTTTTTCGGGGAGGGGAGGTGCGGCTCAAGCAAGAATTGGCAGTTGTGACAAGTGCCCCGGGTAGCTCTTATTCATATTCACAGGTGACATCCTGGCCTCTGGAAGGTTCAGAAGTGCCTATGTTTAATTACTGAATGTAGCACACACACTAACCTCATTTAGCATAATTACGGCTCAGAGAGCCATTTATTGAGCACTTATGTCTACTGGGCATCGTGTTAAGGGCTTCGCAGGGACTGACTAGCCCAGTGGCCGACAAACTCATTAGTCAGCAGAGCCAAATGTCAACAGCACAACGATTGACATTTCTTTGGAAAGCCAAATTTTTTAAACCTTAACTTCTTCTAACGTCACTTCTTCAAAATAGACTCTCCCAGGCCGTGATATTTTGTGGAAGAGCCACACTCAAGGGGCCCAAGAGCCGCATGTGGCTCATGAGCCCCAGTTTGCCGACCACGGGACTAGACAAAATGTTTCCAAAATGTTTCCAAAAAGTGAGGTCTGATTTAAACCTTTGTACGTTGGCTCATATTTTAAACACACAAGGACCTGTCGAGGCCAAGGACCTCCAGGGTAAATTCTTTCATAAAGAGAACAATTAGCCCCTAATGTATGCTATTCAGATTGAGTTGTACACACTCAGACTTCTTTGAGTGAAATTATAGCTATCCTTGAAGCCAGTGCTTTCATTTATGCTTAAAAAAGTATCTTTGGTATAGAGAGTTAGAAACATCGATGAGAGAGAAACATTGATTATCTGCCTCTTGCACACCCCCTACTGGGGATGTGCCCACAACCAAGGTACATGCCCTTGACCGAAATTGAACCTGGGACCCTTCAGTCTGCAGGCCAACGCTCTATCAACTGAGCCAAACCGGTTTCAGCCTTGGTGAGCTTTTAATAAGTTAGGCTCAGCTGTCATGGAGCATGACGGGGTTTGCCGCAGTCACAGAATGATGTCATAGGTCTCGCAGCCACACCCCACCCTCCTCTTGGGCAACCTGGGCCCGGGAAGCCATTGGGTTGGAGGTCACAGAAGCCACCAAACACTGTGTGAAGCCCCGCTCTCCCCCTCACCCCCACCCTGCCTGGGGGAAGAAAGACTTTCACTTCTTATTTTCTAAATATCTAGGTTTTGAAGTGTTCATCTGTGCATGTGTGAATGTTATATTCATTATAAATACTTCTGAAACTCCCCAAGGATGACATTAGCCTTTGAGGGACTGTGAGCCTATCTCCCACAGGAATTTTTTCTCATAATTTTAAATGCTTTAAGGATGTTACAGAGTGTATGCAGATACCCCGAAAGGATTTTATGATTTTTCTAAGCAGGCTGGAATGGTTAACTCGAAATGATTTCTTCCCCCACAGGCAGAGCTCCGCATTTTGAAAGGTAAAACACTCCTTGCTCTGAAACAAGGGCCTGGGGGCTGTCACAGAGACAGTACTAACTGCCATTCAACACTCTTGGTTCTTGTTCTGAGTTTCGGGCTCACTTATCAGAACAGACCGGCTTCTGCTTTGCTGAAAGAGAGAACCGGGATCTCCCTTTCCATTCAGGCCGCGGGTTTGAACTTTTGCAAGACTTCCTTCTTCTCCCCCCACGCCTCCCACACCCCTCTTTTCTTCACTTGTTCTCAGCATCTTAGAGCCGCTCCTCAGCTCCTGATGGAAGGTCCCTTCACTGGCAGGTCCTGGAGGGGCCCCACCCGACCTGCGAGAAGCCAAGTTTCCTTTCTGTCTCTGACTCTGCCCGCAGGTGACCCCCGAGGAGTTCATGAACTACTACGCCGGCGTGAGCGCATCCATCGACACGGACGTGTACTTCATCGTCATGATGAGAACCGCCTGGAAGCTCTGAATGTAGGAACCGGGGCCAGGCCTTGGGCAGCCTCATGGCTCCACGTGGTTAAACATCAGCTCAAAACCAGGATTCTAGTTGAGTTCAAGTTCATCTCACTGTTTCTCCCATGCCAACAGCGTGTTCCAGGGCAGAAACGAGGATATTCAGCACTTAACTGTGATTTAACTTCTCTAAGCTTGTTTCCTTAGCACTAAAGTAGAAATTAGCTGAAATAAAACTTGAAAAGCTCCTTTAGCCAGGCTGGCATGTACAGGAGTCTAATCCACATAAGGTGTGCTTCTTGGCCGGTGACAAAAATGGGAACATTTTGGCAATAACCCATCCAGGCACCCACAGCCTGACTTCACCCCCTTTTAGACGGCTCACTTCTAGGTGGAGGAGTCCTCTGTGCTTATGCCTGTCCGTGCCTAAGGGCTTCAGTCCCCATTCAGGGACCAGAAGGAGACCATGCTTTGCCCTCAGTTTCTATAACCAAATCTTGCCTTTCTCTGACCACAGTGTAGGGAAGCCTCGGTTAGGGGAGTGGACTTAGAATGACATTTGGGGGTCATTGTGGAGGCTGGTGTGAGACGGACACACACACACACACACACACACACACACACACACACGTTTATCTGGGCAGTAGGGCCAGGACTGTTCTGTGGTTGAAGGTGGAGACTGCGCTGTGCTCTCCACGGTGGGGACGTGTCGTCCTGTGAGCACACAGACCGTGTCAGCGAGCCTGGGCCTGGAGGACTGTGCCGCCCTCCTCTCCCTGCTGTTGGCCAACAGGGTTGGCTTTCCCACCAGCCCAGGGAGGTTCGTTGTGACACAGACTAGGGTCACAGCCCTGCCCCAAAGCAGACTGTCCCTCCTGACGTTGCGTGGCATTCTCCTCCCGGCCCCACGCTTTGGCTTCCTGTGGTTAACGTGCCAACAGCTCCCTGGGAAGTCCTCTGCACAAAGGCAGCCTCATCTCCTGGGAAGTAGATGCTGAGCTACAGCTCTGGCTCTGTGCTCTGTGTCTGGGCCAGAGATAAGTCCTCGCCAGCCCTCTGGCTACAGAGCTGGACGTAATGACCAGTCTATCTTTCTCCTCAGGGATGCCCCCTTCTCCCCCACCTTCTCTCTCCTCTCTCTCTAGTTTGGGGAGATAGATTGGGACCATGGTCTTTTTTAAGTTCTTATATCTTTAAGTGACTCTGGATTGAGGGTCTGGACATATCATGGCAGTTCACTTGTTTACTTTTTATTTCTCAGTCTTGGAAGTTGAGATTAGGATATACATGGACCTAAAAATGGTGAACGTAGGTGTTTTCAGAGGTGAACTAGAACAGTTACTAAGGGAGACCTTGGTTTGTTGTTGAGAAGCTAAACTCTCCCTCTCATCACAGGCTGGAAGAGACATTTTTCTTGAGGATAAAGAAGCGAGCTATTTTGGGTATTAATGACACAAGTCTGGGTTTCCACTGGATTGATTATCTCGGCTTCTCGAGAGGCTGGCAGGTCAGAAGATGCCAAGTGTTACAAGGGCGGGTATAGGAAGGGTGTAGAAATCTGGAAGAAATGACGAAGAAACGTGTAGAAGAGATACCCATGTTCTATGGAGCTTGTGCTATGCAGATTGTGGCTACAGCCAGGTCCCCGGTTTCCTGGACACGGTAGATCTCAAGCCTACTGCTCTAGATAGATCTGTGTCTTTGATTCTGGCTTTGACTCATGCCTCTGCCTAACTGGGCCGTAGTGTTAGCATGTGATTCTGAACGAGGACTGGGCTGCAGCTATCAGCTTCGTCTTCCCCCGTTGCTCTGAGCTTCCTGTCTCATTGGGGCCCAGGGCAGAGCGCTCAGATCTTAGATAACCCGTGCCTCACAGTGCATTTGGTCACATTGGGTCACCACCTCTCTGGCAGATTCGGTCTGAGCCCACCAGCAAGGATTCACCAACCAACGCCCTCTCTCCCTCCATAAGCAAGATCGCAGCCAAGGATCACTCCTGTCCTATTCCGAGTCTTATCTGTGATTTCTGACCTAGTAGGAGGAACAGAGAAAGGCCATTAAAAATCACTTGCTAATACTTTTGGATCTATTTTGGTTTATTTAACTTACATAACTTAAACATTACTCCATTCTCAATTTATTTTATTATTATTTTTTTAAATATATTTTTTAATTGATTTTTTACAGAGAGGAAGGGAGAGGGATAGAGATTCAGAAACATCGATGAGAGAGAAACATTTATCAGCTGCCTCCTGCACACCTCCCACTAAAGATGTGCTTGCCACCAAGGTACATGCCCTTGACCAGAATTGAACCTGGGACTTTTCAGTCTGCAGGCTGATGCTCAAAAACCAGTCAGGGCTCCATTATCAATTTAAAAAGTAAGCACTTGGATCAGAAGATAAAACACAAGAAAGTTTCCAAAGCAATCCCTTCAGAGACCTCACCTCTTGGGCCTGAACCCCAGATAGGAAGTAAACAAACAAACAAACAAACAAACAAAGAACAAAGAAAAGAGGATGAAATTAGCAGCTTTTTATGAAACAGAAACAGTGTATGTAAAAATTCTGAGAGTCAGGTTTGGTCAGAACAAGCCACTAATATCCTGCTGAATGTGGGTTCTACTAGTAACTCCCCCAAAGGCAAACCTAGAAGGGAATGGAGGGGACCCTGACTCAGCCTCTGGTTCATATCCGCTGGAATTCCATTGATAAAGCAAATGGGACATCTACGATCCACTGGGATGAGTCAGAGACTGAGGCAGAATTCTTCCAGCCGATCGGAGGGGCTGGTTTTAACACAGACATTCACACCTGGATAGGATGTCTTCCCAGACCCTGGCGGCACTGTGGAGGACGGTGTGTTGCTCTTGGTGGCTTGATGGCATGTGTGGGGTCATGTTTTATATCTAATAATGGCAGCTCTCATGGCAGGGCTGGGCCCTCTGCATAGGCTGCAGACTGACTCTGCACACATTGTGGTTTTAGCTTGAAATTACATCCCATCAGAAAGTGTTTCTTGACTCTCTGCTGTGTGCCATGTTCTATCCTTGGCAGTAGAGCAATGAGCTAGAAGAAATGCAAACAAAACTACTGGCTTTCAAAACTCACAGCCCGTGGTGGTTAAGCGATCAGAGAGGCGGGAAAGGATGGGTACTGAAACTCCTCTCTCTGAGGCATCTTCAGCGTCAGCAGCCAGGACTGGGGGCCCCTTCACACGCAGAGTGTGGAGGAGCTGGGTGATACATTGGTGAAGGTAGAAAACCTATCAAGACGAGGCAAGGAAGCCACCCCTGTATTCTTGGAGGCAGGCAGTGGTTCTTTCATTTCCCTTGGCCAATGCAACGCTTCGCTGAGCCACAAGAACAAGTGGGTCACAATTCACCCCTCTTCAGATGACTTAGGAATGATGTCTGTTCTGCTGATGTTTAACCAGGTGGAGAGATTAACTACAGCATCTTAGACCCACTCTTCAGCTCCTCCACTGAAAGGTTCCTTTCATTGGCAGGCAGGTCCTGAATGTGGGCCCTGCTGAACCGGCGAAGCCAAGTTTCGTTTCTGTTTCTGACTCCTGGATGGTGTGTGGGTACCTTCTCTCTTCCTCCTTCACGAAGTTCTACTAACACCCCCTGAGTAGTATACCTTTCTGGATGTATGCTTATCTCTTTTGGGCACAAAATGTAAAACCTCATAAATTCCAGTTTTTAAGATGAATCATAAAACTTGCTTTCCTGAAAATGATGGGCTGTTCTTTGAAATGAAGACCTTGTTGAAAGAGGCAACAGCTTTGCAAATTTTAGAAGTGCTTCTGGCTCAAGGAAAAGCAAAGGCGCCAAGGATCTGATAGATGGCGGATAATGTTATTCATGTGCAATGGATCCTTTGGAAAGCCAGCCTCTCTAAGCACAGTTTTGCTTGCCCAGGTTGCCTCTGTGAAAACTGCACAACGTTGATGGAGATAGCTAGTTCTTTGAACCCCCTAGAAGAAAGCGTTCTAACACAGATGCCGGTGGGATCTGTTGAGAGGAACCGAGGCGGATGATTGATGGGGGTTAGAGAGCCCGGTGTGAGCAGCGGCCTCTCTGCCCTCTCAGAGGTGCGGTGAGAGGCTGTGGTGAAACAGCTCTTCCTCTCTGAGAATAGCATGGCTGCTTGTCTCCTCTCACACCTGCTCTGCCAAAGCCAGGGCAGCGTGGAAGGCTCCTCAGGAGGGAACCACTGCCAACCTGAGCGGCCAAGCAGCCAGCTGCCTTAGCAAAGGGACTCGCAGCCACCAGAAAGGTATATTGCATCGGGGGAAGCACATCTCAGCATGGAATGGACTATTTCTTTTGTTCTAGATTCTTCTCCCCACGCATCATACATGGAATGTCTTTACCTATTATTCCTATGGAGTATTAACAGTAATTTCTGTTTCACCAAAGTTCTTGTGAGCACCAGGGATCTTCAGCTGCTGTGCTTGCTTCCAGCACTGGGCCAGGGGCAGGCTGCTCAAAGGTGCAGAGGGTCCCACCCAGCTTGACATGATGCTGCCCACGTGACTATCATTCATCTCCCGTTTGCTTCTGCTCTAGCCCTGTAGTCAACCCACCAGGACTCAGAGATGAAGCCCCTGAAATGGAGCGAGATCTGAGTGTCTAGTTGGTGATCCTGTCGTTACAAGACCTGAGTAACTTTTCCTTTCCTGACCTTAACTCTTGGCACTCAGAGGCTGGTGGTGATTCTGGGAACATCTTGATCTTGAACTTGAAAGGTTTGAATTGCTAGTCTCCTAGAAACGCTCAGGCCACCTGCAGAACTGATGCTAATCTGTGCTCTGAGAGAGACTTCCAACAGCATGGGGGCCTCAAGAGAGAGAAGATGCCAGGTGGCCGAGTGGCTGCCTCCCGCAGGGCTAGAGGGAGCCTCGGCCTGTTTCCAGGTTGCCGGGACAAAGTGCTGTAGGAAAGCAGGCTATTACCAAACGTCAGGCATCACCTTAGCAACCCAGGTCGCTCCTTCTATTTCCAAGGAAACTGGGAATTCAAACACCGTCCCACAAGTTTCATACTTCATCATGTCTAAGACTTCATTTAGCAATATCACTCAATATCCACTTACTTGTCTTTGAAGCTGCAAAGTGAGCATTGAAAGTTACCATTAATTCAGGCTCCACTAATTTAGCTTATTTAGATAGAGTCTGAGGGAAAGTTTACTTTTATTTCATCTATGCTAAAAAAAAACAAAACTGGTTTGGCTTAGTGGATAGAGCGTTGGTCTGCAGACTGAAAGCTCCCAGGTTCAATTTCGGTCAATGGCATGTACCTTGGTTGCGGGCACATCCCCAGTAGGGATTGTGCAGGAGGCAGCTGATCGATGTTCTCTCTCATCGATGTTTCTAACTATCCCTCTCTGTAAAAAATCAATAAAATATATTAAAAAAAGGGGGGGGGAGAGAGGAGGCATTTTCAGTAATTTGAAAAGAATTATATGGGCTATACCTAATTACATTCATATGTGCTTTTCAGATACACAGAGATATTTAGTTGCAAACACATGTAATTAGTATGCTGGTCATAAAAGTTTCCCACATGCCCTTTAAAACAGTCCCAGGCCACTTCTTAGTTGACAATATTATACTTTATTTGCATAACTGTAACACTAGCTACTTTCTATTGTAGATAGGGAGGCGTTTCTACATGTAAATCTTAACTTGATAGAAAATTTTTTTTTTTTTAACCCTCATCCAAGTACCTGCTTAGAAAAAAAGAGAGAGAGATCTATGTGGGAGAGAAACATCAATTGCCTTCTGTATGCACAACCACCAGGGATCAACCCCACAACTCAGGTATGTGCCCTGACCGGGAATCGAACTGGCAATCCTTTAGGACAGCGCTTAACCAGCTGAGTCACTGTGGCCCAGCCCTTGGTAGTATTTTAAAATAGAAATTGAATAGCTGTAAAACCATAATAAAACAGAATTTTCTAGATATCTATCATGTAGATTTAAGAATATTTTGTTTAAACAGTTATACCCAAGCACTGAAAACAAGAACTCATCTCAAATGGCAATATTTAGGACATCATTTCTAGGAATCAGAGGTTGAGAAGTTTTAAGCTACTAGGTTTAATTTATACTGCCAACCTTGTCATGTTTTCCCTGTTTCAACTGTGCCTCGCCATTAACATGGTTCTGATTTGAGAGAATTGCCTCAATTTACATCTTGAATTGTTAGCCACTCTTGCAATAAAAAAGTTCACGTAGGTTTGTATGAAACACCCTTAAAGTGTTTCTGAATCTATTTTTCTTATCAGCTAACCAGTTACATGTCACACTTCTTTGAAAGGTTGCCTCCCAGGTGGTGCTTTTGGGCCATTTAAAAATGTTCCTTGTGTGATCTTTCAGTCACAAGTGATAAAAGTTCCTCCCTGAAAGTGATAAAGCCCTGTTCAAACTGTACTCTTCCATGCTCTTAAAAGAACAAAATGTGATTACCCACAAAAACCCCTGTGATGACAGTCAACACCGAGAGTTTGAAGAGTTGACCCCAATATTCCGTTTCCCGCAGGATTGGCCTTCTGCCATGTAGCTGGCCAAGCAAGTTCCCAAGATACCCAGCTGCTAAGTGGCGCTCCCAGCCTGTGGGGAACAGTACTGCTCTATGGGCTGGTGCTGAGCAACAGGGGAGGTTCCGGTGAAGAAGAGAGAGATGGAGCCTAACACTGACTCCTGCTCTGTGGGTCTTTGCTTGTAACTCTAGTGCCCATTGTAGGGGGCACGGGGACCACCATGAGGCACTCACACTTACCCTGGCTCACGGAGAGGTTGTGGGGTTTGCCTTCTAGCAGCTCCCCCATGGCTGGTCCCTGTGCCCTGCAGCTGGATGCAGGCTTCACATCACATACTCCCTGACACCCGTGGGCTCTGGGAAGTGTCCCGTTCTCTGGTTCTGTCCCTGCCGAGGTATGTGGTCTAGCCCAGTGGTCGGCAAACTCATTCGTCTACAGAGCCAAATATCAACAGTACAACGATTGAAATTTCTTTTGAGAGCCACATTTTTTAAACTTAAACTTCTTCTAACGCCACTTCTTCAAAATAGACTCGTCCAGGCTGTGGCATTTTGTGGAAGAGCCACACTCAAGGGGCCAAAGAGCCGCATGTGGCTCAAGAGCTGTGGTTTGCCATGGCGCACCTCCTGGATCAGGCCCTGAGGATGAAGGAGAAGGCACAGGGACAGGGCAGTGCCCGCTGGAACCCCGTGGTTTAGACTCCCTTCCTTTCCCTATCTGTTCCCTTAACTAGCGACTTCCCTGAAGCCTTAATAACAGGTGCAAGCGTGCTCACAGAGAGTGTGCTGTAGAGCAGGCCTGGCCTGCAGGGCTGCCTGCCAAGATGGGAATGTTCCATGAATGCTCTCTCCGTGACGCCAGCCGCCAGCCACGTAGTGGCTGTTGCGTGGCAGAATATGTGCCTGAGGAACTCACGTTTTCATAGTGATTTTAATTACACATAAAAAAACCACACATGACTAATGGTGACTGGATTGGGTAGCGTGGCCACAGAGATTGTTATCTGAATGCAGAAAGAGGATGGCTGGGGGGAGCTGCAAGGGGCCAGGGGGCAGGCGGGTCTTGGGTGGCCCCTGCAGATGCCCCGCCTCCGAGAGCCCACTTAGAGGGGAAGGCAAGCCAACCCCCACTCACTTGACTCAGCCTACCTGCCAGGGGCCAATCAAGCCCAATAGGAAATGGTTCAGAAAGAACGTGAAATGCTCTACTACGATTCCCGTATTCTGATGCCTTTCCCTTCTTTTCCCCTTGCCTTTCATCCCCCTCAGGTTTCCAAAGAAGACTTTCTGAACTATTACGCTGGTGTTAGTGCTTCTATCGACACTGATGCCTATTTCATTTTAATGATGAGGAAATCCTGGAGGTTATGACTTCTGTCTGTTAATTCCTTTGGAAATCAGGGACTCTTGAAGAGTGGGATGAGTTTGGAAGAAGTCCAATGCTCTGGATTTTAATAAGATGTGAACGATAGTTTCTGAACGATCTGAAATTGTAAAAGCAACGGATCTCCAGTTATCTTACTTCATTACCTGGAACAGGTTCATTTCCTTAAATGCCTGAGGATATATTTATGTGTTTTTAAGTGATAAAGAAGGAAGAAACGAAGAAGAAAAGAAGAAAGGAATGAAGGAAGGAAAGGAGAAAGGAAGGAAGGAAAGAAGATGACCATTTAGCGGGGCTGGGAGGTAGTTCTTAGGGAACTAATGCGCTTCTTGTTGTAGCTCTTCCTCTTATAGGTGTAGCCATAGCTCCCCCACACCTGCACCTGGCTGACTGTCTTTGGCGTCTGTAGTAGGAGATGATAATGAAAGGACTGGAGGAACGTCTGACTGTAAAATTTCCTGAGCTCACTTACTTCAATGTTTCTCTTGGTGAATACTTTGTGAATAAAATTGGTTTTCCTCTAACATTTAATGACTTTGGGCTATTTTAATATTTTAAAATAGGGCTATAAATTCAGCCAAACCCCACACGTGAATGAGTAGGGGACACACGTGTGAAAGGAAGGTGAGGGAGCCCAGCTGGCCCGCCAGGGTGGAGCTGGGCTCTCCGGAGCTGGACGCACCTCCTGGATCAGGCCCTGAGGACGAAGGAGAAGGCACGGGGACAGGGCAGTGCCCGCTGGAACCCCGGAAGGCTTCTGGAGCTGCAGGGAGACCAGGACTTTACACTGTGTTTAGTCTGTTAAACCCAGTTCCAGGCTCCTCCACCGGGCAGGTGATGCCAGTTTCAGACCCATTTCTCTTCCTCACAACTGCCTCTCAGGTTACAAAAAAGTCTGTAAGTTGATGACGCACATACCCACAGGCCCCCTTGGAAAAAGTGTAGAGCTGAGGTGAGAGAGGAGATGGAAGGAAAAAGCCCTGCTTCTCACACTTTAAGAGCACACAGATCCCGGGGGATCATGTTAAAATGCTAATTCTGATTCTGAAGTGTGGCGGGGGTGGGAGGAGTGTGGGGAGGGTCAGAACTTCAGTCTTTCTAACAAGCTCCCAGTATGTTAATGCCTCTGGTCTTCAAATAACACTTTGAGTAGCAAGGGTAGAGATATACCAACTTGTACATTTCCAGTGCATTTAGCTTATTATTTGCCCACCTTTGGTTGGCCATCATAATTTATGATTTTTGACAGCTGGGCCATCCTCTCCGCGTCTTTAAAGTCATTGTAGTAGGAAGGAAGCATCAAATACAACGTTTGTGCCTTCCAGGTACAGTTAGGAGAGCAAGAGCACTTCGGAGAGGCCTTGCGTGGCGGCATCGGGAAATTCCTCATCGTCCGGGACCCAGCCCTGCCCATCTCCTGGACTCAAAGACCTGTGTGTCAGCCCACCGAGAGTTGGCCTCTGATTTAAGAAAGACCTCTATTGAGCAAGCTCAGAGCAACTGACGCTAAAACTGAAACGCCAAGTCATGAATCTCCCCTGGAGAATCCAGTTCTCATGTTTGCTGAGACCAGACCATGGAACCTCAGCTGGGTTAGAGGATGTGAGAGAATGACAGTGTAGCCCTCAGTTCAGGGTGGCTTTTAGCCATTTATTCCCCCGATACTGTTAAGCAGCGCAAGGGAATTACATGTGGAATGTCAGGGCAATGCTACCCGATGTAACAAATAAATGCGCACATTTATAAAAGCTCAAACACGATATAGTAAGTCCCCACTTAGTGTTCGGTTCTGTGACATAAACTGAAATGACGTATAAGGAAACAGATTCTCCCACAGGCTAATTGATAGAAACAAAATTCAAGTTCCCACAGCGACTCATCAATGTTATGATGAAATGATATTGAACAAAACACCATTGTATTTAGTTTTCACTCATGAGACAGCGCCATGCATCTGCTGCGCATCGCTCCCCATGCTGTGATTCCGGGCGGCAGATTGCTTCATTGTGTGGTTCTGCCACCTCTAGGGCTTTGTGATGGATGAAATCCATGAGGCTGAAGGGGAACAGGGTGTGGAGAAGACTGAAGAGCTTTCTGAAAAGCTTTGGTCTGAAACTGACACCCATCACTTCTGCTTGGACGATAACTAGTCACATGTTTGCATCTGAGAGCAAAGGAGGCTGGGAAGTAGAATTCCAGTCAAGAAGCCTTCTTGCCAGTGAAAATCTATCTAAATCAGGAGAGTACAACATTTGGTGGACAACTAGCTTTCTCTGCCTCTTGAAATAGTCCCCATTGCCTTCTCCCTGCCTGTTCCCCCCTGTCCCCCCCTCCCCCCGCCCCAGGCATACTCGGTGGTCTGGGTAGCCAACACAGAGAGATATTTCTTAGCCAGGTTGGAGAAGTGTGGAACTGAGGTCTTTCTGTGGGGATTGACGCTATGTCCTCTCTCACACACTGGAACAAGTAATTCATGTTGTTAATTGAAAAAATTTTTGCCCTACTGACAGATCCCTCATTGGAAACCTAATTATAATTATGAGGTTCTTTGGCCATTGGAACCAGAACAAAGGGCATGAAGATTACGTATTTAATGAAATTAGGCTGACAGTTAATCGTATTCATCTTGCCAATGAGACCATCATACTCTTTTGCCAATAGTCCCTGGAGAGGACTAACAGATGCCCCCTCTGACCTCTCTCTTCGCAGCTGACTGAGAGCCCACAGGAGAGACACACTCTTTATGTTGGATGTATTCATTAGACTTGTCAGCTCTCATTGCGGTCAGCTTTGCTGGGCCTGCCTGGGGGCGGTGCTTATCTCTTCGGTGTACTTTTATATACATCTGTTCATTCACTGTGAATAAAATATCACTATAGCCAGGCTGGCATAGCTCAATGGTTGAACGTCAACCCATGAACTGAGAAGTCATGGTTTGGCTCTGGGCAGGGCATATGCTGGGTTGCTGGCTTGATTCCCAGTGTGGATGTGTAGAAGGCAGCCAATCAATGATTCTCTCTCATCATTGATGTTTCTCTCTCCCTCTCCCTCTCCCTCTCCAAAATCAATAAAAATATATTTAAGAAAAAAAGAAGAAAAAAATCAGTGTAATTTTAGTGCTGCTGTGAGGGCTCTAGTATTCCCTTGTAATTTGGAGTGTACCTTACCATAGCTCTAGGGAACTGACCATAGACAGCAGGTACTTTCTTGTTTCATGGTAGAGGGGAAATTAAATCAGAAGAGAATGTGACTAAATCCATATGGCTTACTAAACCATGGGAAGAAGGTGAATCAGGGTGAGCACCTAGCTGGTTTCAGGATGGGGGCTGGGCACCAGCAAGACCACCCACCTGCTTAGAGGCTTGGTACTTTGGGCCAGTCCGCTTCTGAAGAGCAGAGGGGGGGCTGGAGACGAAGCTCAGGCCCACAGCCAGTGATGTAATCAAGCACATCTGTATCATGTACCTTAATAAGACCTTTGAACACGGCGGCTCAGTGGTTGGTGAACACGCTGATGAGTGGATGTGCTGGAGGGTGACCCTCCTGGACTCCAGGAGGAGAGGAGAGAGCACTGAGCATTTCTTCTCCGACTCCTTCCCATGTGTCTCTTCAGCTGGCGGGCCCTCCTAATTTATGTCCTTTATAATAAAACTGTAATTGAAAGTTTCTTGGGTTCTGTGACTCATTCCAGTAAATTACTGACACTGAGGAGGTCACAGGGACCTGCATGTTAGCCAACTGCCTATAAATTCAAGGCTTCCATACAGAAACCTCGTCTGAGTGTCCAGCCTGACTGGCCTGCCATGCGTAATCCAGACCCAAGACTGCAACATCAACTCCTACCGATGCCAGCCTGCAGCTTGCCCTGTAGATTTCAGACTTTTCAGCAATCATTGTGGTATGAACTGAATTCTCAATATAAAACTCTGTTTTCTTTCTACATACATCACACACACACACACACACACACACACACACACCAACACACACACCTCAACACACACACATAACACACAACACACACACCAACACACATACACACCACACCACACCACACCACACCACACACACACCAACACACTATTTGTTCTGTTTTTCTGGAGAACCTGACCAATACAGAAGTACAAGTAGCCTGGGAATCCCCAAAGACAGAAGTAGCATCTGAGGTAAGAGAATTCTTGTTAAGGATCTTGCCCTTTAACCTGTGGGGTCTGACGTAATTGTGGGTGGATAGGGCCAGAATGAATTACAGTACTCCTAGGTGGGATGAAACAGAGTAACTATAATAGATAAGTCATTATTTACTACATTAGCTCGTATTTCTAGGCCCAATTTACAAGTTAAAGCCTTTACATCAAGCATATCAAACTTGGGGCCTGCAGGCCACAGGCAGCCCACAACAAATATTTTTGGGGCCTAGCTAATATAACAGTATGTAAAAAACCGTTACAAAAACGTTTTAACTTAATTTTACAATTTCCTGTTATACTTAATTATTAATAATGAACTACAACTTTTGCTAATGACTGATTTTTTTAAAAATTTGTTAATTACTATAATCGTGTTGCATTCATTTCCTGCACATGCCTTATACGTAGGCACACCATTTCTTTCCGCTAATGCTAGCAGCGAATATTTTAGCAGCTGATTATCACGTCATTAGTCTTGGACTGATTGGTTTGGTGTGCACAACAGGAAATATTTCACTTCTGAGAACAAGAAAAATTTGCGTTATGCTTATTAATTTGTGCAGTTATTCAGTGTCTGGTAAGTTAACTTTCAAGAAAACTTAATTTTTTAAAAAATGTTCTATAATTTTGTTAATGATGACTCATTTATTTCAGCCCTTTGTATTCAGCATGTCTCTATCGAAATAAACCTACATTTCTATGAAAATTGAAGCTTTTGTGTTTTTGTGGCCACATACACTTACACCTTGTTGACTTGTCCCGTGTTAGCCTGTGAGTTTGACATGTGTGCTTTACTCAGTCTTCCAGTAAGATTGACTTATTTTGCAATAAGAAGCCAGTACTTTTCTCTTTACCTAGAAATGGCTAGTGCATTGTGCTAATCTCATTTACTAAACAATAAATAATCTACCTTTTCTCCACTAACTAGAAATGCATGCAATTTTTGTAAGTACATGGATCTGGACACATAGGTCCTCTATTCCACTGATTGCTCTGTGAAAACAAAATTTAAAAAATATAACTAGAGATATCTAATTTCTACACAAATACTTTTGTGGTTTTTTTGCACTGATAATTATGATCATTTTGTCATTTCTAAATGAAAGTAATTATTTTGCCTTTAAAAGTGAATAAATTGTTAAAATCACTCCTATGGTCTCTTCTCAATTCTCTGTTTCTCCAGAACTGAGCAGGCTATTTTTTAAAATATATTTTTTATTTATTTTAGAGAGGAAGGGAGAGGTAGAAACATCAACGATGAAAGGGAATCATTGATTGGCTGCTTCCTACACATTGGACCAAGCCTACAACCTAGGCATGTGCCCTTGACCAGAATCGAACCTGGGACTCGTCCATTTGCAAGCTGATGCTTTATTCACCGAGGCTGAGCAGGCTATTCTTGAATATATATTTTTCCATATGGCATGTAAAAAATAGCATATATAAGTATATAGTGGGGAAGGTAGCATGTCAACTATTATAATACATATGATTATTTCTGAGGAGTGGGATTAGGAAATTAGGTCTTTCCTTGTTACATCATATATGTTGGTGTTCCTGGAATTTTTGAGAACAAGCAAATATTAGCTTAGTAATAAAGATTCAATTAAGATTTAAAGAAATAGCCAAGACCGGTTTGGCTCAAAGGATAGAGTGTCGGCTTGGGGACTAAAGGGTCCTAGGTTCAATTCTGGTTAAGGGCATGTACCTTGGTTGTGGGCATATCCCCGGTAGGAGGTGTGCAAGAGGCAGCTGATCGATGACTCTCTCTCATCGATGTTTCTAACTCTCTATCTCTCTCTCCCTTTCTCTGTACAAAATCAATAAAAAAAATATATATAAAAAAGATTTAAAGAAATAATCAACATGTGAAAATATAATAACCAAGTCCTTAATGAAATCTTTGTGTCTTTTAGGGCTTTTTTCTTTTTCTTTTTTCTTTTCACTTTATCCCCTTGAGTTTTCCAGATACACAATCATTTCATCTGCCAATAATGATCATTTGGTTTCCTCCTGTTTAATATTTATGCTTTCTACTTAGTTTTCTTGTCTAATTGCATTTCCTAGCAGTTCTAGAACAATGTTAAATTGGTAACAGTGGTATTTTTTGTTATTTTATTTCTAAATTTAATGGAGTACTTTTAGTTAATTTCACTAACAAGCATGACCCTGGCTTAGGTTCTATACTTATTTTACTAAATTTTTATGTTAAAGCATAAATTGAAGCATCACTCAAATCTGCATTAACTTCTACTTAAATCCATGAAAGTTTATTAATATGCAAAAATGATTTTATAGCAGATTCATCAGTCTTGGGCTACAGCATTTATTGCCCCTCTAACTAACTAAACAAAGCATATCTCAGGCTAGCAAGTTAATATTGTGCTGTTGTCAATGGATAACAGCATCTTCATTTTAATATTAAAATGTTGCCTGGCTATCTTGCACTTCTGTCTGATGACTAGCACCGTTCATACTTCGCAGAAACTAATTTGTAGTAAAAAGGAAAAGTCCTTCAGAGCCTCTGTGAGTCCTTCTCCTTGATGAGAAGTCTTTTCCCGGAGTAGACCAAGAGCTGGCCCTCAATTTCCCGGGGAGGGGCCAGCAGGCTTGTTCAAAGGCTTCTGCAGAACTCAGCACTGAGATGCTGCTTTGCACACCTCAGGGGCTTGGCGTGCTATTTGCATCGGGTGCTTACCCGTGTCGTGAGGAGGGTGAGTGTGTTCTGAGGACCCACCAGGCTTTGTTTCCTTTGAACAGCTGCCTCATTGCAAGCTACACACAAATCCCACGCAAGTGACACAAACCATTAACATTCAGAAGTAGAGGTTGACTTAGGCAGGTGTCCTCAAACTTTTTAAAGTGGGGGCCAGATCACGGTCCCTCAGAGAGCTGGAGGGCCGGACTATATGAACTACTAATTCCTACTGTAACACCTCGGCTGCGCTCACTGCCCAAAAAACCTGGCGGGCCGGATCAGACTCCTCTGTGGGCGGTATGTGGCCCGCGGGCCGTAGTTTGAAGACCCCTGATAGAGTAAGGTAAACACATGAACAAACAAAATTACCATGCAGATACTCATCAAAGAGATGAAGCTTTGGAAAGTTCTCTTTCCACCCCACCCCAGCCCACCCGCCCTATTGTTTCCCCAGCTCTGTGGTCACAGTGGTTAAGGGTGCAGCTGGGGATGGGGAAGACAACCGACTTCTTCCATGTGAGTGCACATGTGCTGTCTGTCCTCTCAGGGATGCAGCGCCTGCCTCTGGCTGCGCATCCTGGCCTGGCATGCTTCTATCCTGAATGGCCTCGAGGGAACACGAGGACAGATACAATGTCATTCACGAATGGGATTACTCATTGGCTCCACATTTATGATCATGTGCCTTTTAGATATTAGAGAGTGTGTTTAGGGATTGGCATAAATCTCAATCAATCATTGCCCTCTCCTCCAGAGTGCTTAGAAGTTCAGAGGGGAATCAGACACATTAGGAAATTATGAATCAATGTGGGGACATGAGGGGTGAATAGAAGGTACATTAGGATTCCTCCATAAACCCTGGACATTTATTATGCCGCACCCCCTGGTTAAAATTCTCCCAAGGACCCTTTCCCCCTGCAGACCAAATCAGAACTCCTTAGACTGGCATGTCAGATGCTTAGCCATAGTCCCCACCAGTTCTGCCAAGTGTCACCTCAGCCATTGCTCAGCTGAGCAATGGCTGAGGTGACACTTGGCAGAACTGCTGGCCCCTCCCCAGGAAATTGAGGGCCAGCTCTTGGTCTACTCAAAATAGTACAATAGTTATCAGGTAGATAACTATTTTGTGTGAAAGTGCCCTGTGTTTACTACAAATTAGTTTCTGCGAAGGTGTGCAAAGCAGCATCTCAGTGCTGAGTTCTGCAGAAGCCTTTGAACAAGCCTGCTGGCCCCTCCCCGGGAAATTGAGGGCCAGCTCTTGGTCTACTCCGGGAAAAGACTTCTCATCAAGGAGAAGGACTCACAGAGGCTCTGAAGGACTTTTCCTTTTTACTACAAATTAGTTTCTGCGAAGTATGAACGGTGCTAGTCATCAGACAGAAGTGCAAGATAGCCAGGCAACATTTAGGAACATTTAGAAGTGCAAGATAGCCAGGCAACATTTAGTCTTAGGAATCTTAGCTAAGGAAATGCCCACCGATGGTTTCCACTCAAGCACCTGCCAAATGGCCCAGCACTTGCCATTTTCTCCGTGAGACATATAGTCACCTACATTGAGACTTGGCTGTCCTCTGGTGTATCCTGTACAGTCTGAGGTGTATGTTCCCAAATCTATGTAGGCCAGCTGTACTTGGTATTGAAAAGCTGTTATGCAAGCTGATGAAACATGGGTATACAAAGGAAGACTGATGTTGATCTATCAGAACAACCTCGAATGGTTTGAAAAGACTTGATAAAGGCAGCTTGCAAGAATCTTTAAACGTTAGGCCACTGCACTTAGATTTTTTGGAAAGATCTCTTCCATTTTGAAGAAAGCAGAATTACAAAGATCAGAGGATGCGTGATAGCGTGCATTACCTAAGAATTCTAGGCAGCATGAAACTATAATCAGTGACCCATCACTCAAAAGAACAGCCATGGCCTTGAACAGAAGATTGACGAATGGCCATACGGACATGTGTTTTTAATTAAAATAAAGTCTCTCAGGTAGATAACTACTATTTTGTGTGAAAGTGCCCTGTGTCTGACTCTCAGGAGTAAGCACCAACCCCTTGTCGCTCCCAGCTGAGCCAGGTAAGGAGACATCACCCAGTGTATCTGTAACTCCCACGTGCTCCACAGGCTGTCACAGCTCTGTGACTTCAAACATGCTGTTTCCTCTGTTTGGAAATGTCCTCTCTGCTCTCCAGGCTCCTTGGCCTGGCACACTCCTACCCACTCTCTGCTACCACATTAAGTGGACTTCCTTTACATTACCTTTCCTGGAGCTTCTTCCTTAAGGCATCTGTGTGTGTGTGTGTGTGTGTGTGTGTGTGTGTGTGTGTGTGTGTGTTTCTCAGAACCCCCTTCCTTTATTTGGGGAACACCCCACTGTCTGAGGCAGAGCCTTTTCTTACCCATGACTACGTCCCAGCACCTGAGCCGGGCATGGATGCAACTGACCACAGGCTTCAAATCTGCCTGTAAACCAGCAGCCAGGGACATGAGGGCACAGATTCTGCTCCCAGTCTGCTCTGGGGCTGCTCGTGCAGGGGAGATGGCTGCTCTGTTTCTGGAGCTGCTGGTTGTAGAGATGAAGGGTGTCTCGTGGCCTCCATGTTTGGTTCTTTGACTCTCCCAGATATTCTGTGAGCTCTCTGAAGCCTTTTATCAATTCCTTTTCTGCTGAAATTAGCCAAATTGACTTTTATTGCTTAAAGTGACTAATCCTGACGATACTTTGCTTTAAAGTCATGACAGGACATTGTAACTGTTCCTGTGTGTCTTTTCCCCCATGTGATCACGAGCTAGGACCATCCCATCTCATCTCTGTAAGCTCAATGCCCAACACAGTGCAAACTAATACATGGCAGACCCTCAACAAATTTCGGTTAATTCATTAATTTGGGAATTGACTACTTAATTGATGACAAAGTTTCCTCTGAAAATGCCAACCCATATAATGACAGCAGATAGCACCAGAATGTGTCCTTTCCAGTGGCAGAGGAGAACTATGGCCCGCTGTGGGTGTCCCTCCATCCATATTTATCCCAGAAGACACACACAATCATGTATATTTCATTTAATTAAATATGAGATGGTAACACATATCAGATACTTATATACTTAGCAGTTCTGCAAAAAATGTTTGTAATGCATATGGAAAGTATGTCGTTAAATGAGGAAGGTTTACTGTAGTGAAGAGTGGATATTGTTAAGAATACCCTCCTCCCCTCCCCCCAAAAAAGATCCACTGAACTGGCAGAAATGCTATCAGATGTGTATGGTTCCAATTGTCCATCATGGATTGTTACCATCTTCCTGGAAGGTGTCTTCTGCTAACAGTAGCAGGCTCTACTTTTCCTCCTGGCTGATGTACTGTGGTATAGTCCCTGTCTCCAGCCGGCACTGTGAACATGGCTCACTGACAGCACTTCATATAATGATAATCATTTATTTACAAAACTGCCACTTGCATTAGATTTTTCACTTAAGGAGGGCAGGGCCCCAACCTTATTTGGCTTAGATCTCTTGTCCCTAACCCTGTGGTTTGCACATAGCAGGCTTTTCATGAATACTTGTCAAAGAAAGGAAAGAGATAACACTCATGGAGGTCCTTTGATGTTCACAGGCATGAAGCAAATCTGAGCGATGATGGGATTATATTCATTACTACTGATTCAGAGCAAAGGACTTGAGAAGTGAGAACCAGCTGAAGAGTAGATGCTCTGATTACTGTTGGGTCTAAGCCGATAGATAAGGTTGTTAGTCTACCCTTGAAACTCCCTTCACAATTACAAAGAAAAACAACAAAAATTAAAAATTAAAAACAAGCCCCCTCAAACAAATTCAAATCAGAACAAAGAAAACACACACAAAAGGTAAATGACAACAAGTCCCAACCAAAACCTGTCCATCGTCACTTCCCCGTGCTGCATGTGCTCATTGTAACTCCTTGAAGTCTGTGGCGGCATCGATGGCTGCAGAACGCGGACGGCTTGTGGATGAATTTGGGTCGGGGCTGCCTCTCTACACACAGGAGGATTATTCCCCCTTCGCTGCTACTAGGCTCCGGTGACCAGAGTGGGCAGCAGGTTTTTCTTCCATCCATAAGTGTGGCTGGGAGTGGTAGCAAGAGAATTGGGCTCTTGATAACCAACAAGTAGAAACCCAGGGCTTCTCATTTACCACCCCCTGGGCAATTAAAAAAAATAACAACAACCCCCTCCCAAAAAAACAAAAACAAACAAACAAAAAACAACAACCACAAAATGAAATGTGCTTTGTGGCATTCACTCTTTGCAGACATGGTGGGCCATGCCTGGAACTCCACACACCCTTTCTCCCCTACTCTCTTTTTTATAGCTTTTTTGGTTCTGGTGACCTTGTGTCTCCATTTGCCTGGGACACTCCCAGTTTATGCTTATTGTCCTGGAGGAATTTATAACAATAAAAGCATAATATGCTAATTAGAACAGACATCCTTCCAGACGTCCTTCCAGATGACCTTCCAGACAAAGCCAGGGCTTCGAGGAAAGCCCTGGTCCCATGTGCCTGCTGGTGGCCGGAGTGAAGCCCAGGTCCTGGGTGCCAGAGAGAAGCCGGTGCTGGCAGTCAGGGAAGAAAGGCCTACTCTTGCATGAATTGTGTGCATCAGGCCTCTAGTTATTTATAACTTTGTTTTTCTTTCAAAAGTGACCCAGTTTGGACTTGAATTACATAGTCATCCTGGTATTAGAGAGGGTGGGCACTCGGGAATGGGACAGTCCAGGGAAATTGCCTTTAGACTCTGGGCATCAAATCTTGATTCTGCCCCTGGCTGAGTGGGGATCATGGACAAGTTACTTTAAGTCTCAGTCTTATCATCTGTAAAATAAAACAGTAAGAATTGCTCCCGCCTCCCAGGAGAGTGGTGAGGATGCAGGGAGACGTGCTGAGCCTGACACAGTATTGGATAAACAGGAAGTCCTATAATAGCAGCTCTTCTTGTCCTCCTCACCTTTCTTCCTTGCTTCCTTGCCCCTCCATCTCCATCCTTTCCTCCACCCTTTCTTTTGCTCTTTTCTGCTTTTTGTAGTTTCTGAAACAATTGAATCCTTTGGATGCCTGAAGCAGAATGCTCCTGCCAAGAGCTGAAAGTGGGGAGGGAGGTGTGGGGGAGCAATGATTTCAAATCCTGTAAGCTACAGAAAGGTAATGTAAAGGAAGTCCACTTAATGTGGTAGCAGAGAGTGGGTAGGAGTGTGCCAGGCCAAGGAGCCTGGAGAGCAGAGAGGACATTTCCAAACAGAGGAAACAGAGGAAACTAAATTTACATTAGTTTTGTCTTCTTCATGCTGTGAGGCAGAGTGGGAGCTCAGTTGTTTTTGTTGTTCACCTGGTTCCAGTCCCAGGTTTCTTACAGCTCACTGGTTTTGGTAGAAGCTGGACATGGTGACATATGCTTCTTCTTGATTTGATCCCAAGGGAGTGAGGAGGAGCTGTCCCTGGGCAGCTGGGTTCAATGTCAGGATTTCTGATTGGAAAGGAAACGGAGGGTGCAGGGTGGCATTTGTAGTTCCAGGCCCAAGCAGCAGGCCCTGGTACACATGAGGCCCATTCTTGCCACCTTCCCTGCAGTCTGGGGACCTGGAGGAGGGGAGGACAGGGGTACCACACACACTGCCATTCCCAGCCAGGCACCTGAGAGGTGCATCTCTTCTGAAAGTTTTTGGGGTGATGACTGCATGCTTGCTTGGCCAGTTGGGGCCCTGCACACTCCCTCCAAACCTCTGGTTCTCAGACTCCTCAAGTGGTGCAGGAAATGTGTCTTGCAGAAAGCCTTCCACTTCATCTCTAGCTTGAATGCCATCCACCTTATGAATCTGGCAGTCCAGGAAACTTTCAGGATTGAAACTCACAGTCAAATTCTGCACCAAAATAAAAAGAGAGAAGGCATAAAGACACCTTTTCAGGATTGAAATTTACCATCAAATTCTGCACCAAAATAAAAAGAGAGAAGGCACCAGAGAGACACACTGTCAAATGTTCTGTTCAGGAAAGGACCTAAAGAACTTCTGACAGGGGTTTGCCAGAGAATATCAGAGATGAAACCACATGTTCTAGTTGTCTCTGTGCTTTTGGAGGTGCTATGACACTTGGAGGTCTGAAATCACCACTGGCTGTGTCCTCCAGTCCTGAAACTTATATTTCATTTGTGTTTCCTACCTCCAGAAGCTGCAGCTAAAATCTTATGAGGGATCCTGGGTTAGGAATGCCCCAAAACACAAAACTCGAGGTTCAACAATTTCTAATCCTGCAATGTTATTCCTGGCTGTTAAGCTGCCTTGAACATAGTGACAGAAAAGCATCAGAAGCACTTGCCTTTTTTGGTTTCTTACACAGTTGCTCCAGAGTCTTCTTATGATCAGGGAGACTGGGCCATATGATAGGCTTAATCCTGAAATAAGAGGACATTGATAGATGAAGAGAATGGCATAAGGAGCAGGCACAGTAGATCTTTCCACTTATTCTGAGCCAGAAATCAGAAGAATGGATTTCTAGTCTTGGCTCTGCCATAGCTAGGTGGGATACATTGGGGAAATGGCTTATTTGGGCCTCAGTGTCCTACCATCTGTGGAGGTGGTTTTCGGTGATCTACTCTATGAATGAGACAAAAATAACGATACACCTCTGGGAGACAGTGCTAGAGAAAAGGTCCAACGAGGCTTGGCAATGAAGTGGTTTGGTGTAGTTATGAAGCTACAATTGGACCTTCTCATCTACTCCCAATGTATATGTTGTCATCTTGTTCCTTCTCTTTATTTGCAGCAACCCCTTCTCTCTCATTTTTGTAAAAGTGAGGAATATTTTTTTCTTTTTTTCTTTTTTTATATTTTATTGATTTTCTACAGAGAGGAAGGGAGAGGGATAGAGAGCTAGAAACGTCGATGAGAGAGAAATATCAACCAGCCGCCTCCTGCACACCCCCTACCGGGGATGTGCCTGCAACCAATGTACATGCCCTTGACCGGAATCGAACCTGGGACCCTTCAGTCCATTGAGCCAAACCGTTTCGGCTAAGTGAGGAATATTTTCCTAGTTACCCAGAGAAATTGCTTTAAGATGGTGCTTTTCAAATTGGTGTATTTGTTTTCTTGGGATATGTAGCCCTGTGCCGATGGCATCTTCCTAGAGCATTAATAACTTGACTGGTATGTGTTTAAAACATCATTTTTATGATGTAATGGACATGGACTTTCCATAAAGCAGAATGCAAAGGTCCCATGAATGCGGCTGAAGTAAGACTCACACATATTACACGTTGTTCCATGGGTGTGTTATTTGCCCAGGCATTCTGGAGGCCGGGCTTCTCCTCCTTTAGGAGGAAAAACAATTTTTTTTTTTTTTTTTTTTTTTTGAGGAGCCTGATGTTTGGTTTATGTATTTTTGCTCTTAGGAAACTGGAAATTCATGCGTGCCTGAGGATGAAGAGGGATATTGGCACTATAATTTCTGAAATGCCTTAGTCCCCTCTGTACTTCTAATCAGTAAGTAGAGTTAGAGTTCCACCTCTCTGGGATCCCATATAACCACCCATTTGATTAAAAGAATTCACCTTTTTTTCCATAACACACAGGCCAAGATGACCATCACAGCCACAGAGAAGAAACTCAGAATGCTGACTATTAGTAGAACAGGCTCCATCTTTCCTGGAATGCAAGGATAGTTCCAAGTTAGCAATCATTATCAGGATGAGTTGAGTTTATTTAGTAGCTCAGGTTCTTTATTATGTCTTGAATGTTGCTCTTCAGGGAACAGAATGATATCATAGCTGTATGGTGGAATCTTGACTTCAGTAAGTGGCACTGATTTAGGTAGTCAGGTTCAGAACATCTGTCACTTAAAGTGTAAAGGTGACCTAGCATTGAAGACGTCATCATTTGTCCGGCTGGTGTGGCTCAGTTGGTTGAGCACCATCCCATTATCTGGAGGTTGCCTGTTTGATTCCTGGTCAGGGTACAAGCCTGGGTTTTGGGCTTGATCCCCAGTGTGGGGTATGCAGAAGGTAACGTATTGTTATTTTTCTCTCTCATTAATGTTTTGATCTCCCTCTCCCTCTCCCTTCCTCTCTCTGAAATCAATGAAAATATTTTTTAAAAGATACCAGCACTCCCTTCTAGACTCCCATCATCAAGAGAAAGGAGCCAAAGGAGCCAAGGGGAGGGGGTGTGATGAGATAGATACCCTCCTTGCAGTCTCAGCCATGTCATCCCCCAAAGGGGAGATATATGTGCCGTGCTCCAGGTCCCCAGGGATGTGCTTGAGCCATGTTCTTTGGCTCTACTGGCCACTCTCCTTTCCTATACCTCCAGGATGTTTTCATTACTCTGGAGAGAAGGGCAAGGGAGAGCCCCATCAGCCTGCCAATCTGCCATCCACAGAAGTGTTTCCTAGAGGGGCCTTACATACACCAGTCACTGCGATCCCAGTCTGAATTGGTAAACTGGAGGCAGTGGGTGGGAATTTCGTTCAGAAGTATTATCAGGAGCACCCAGACCAGTAGAGTCCAGACAGCCTTCATCCGTTGATCAACTCCCACTCCTTCCTGGTTCGTCACAAAAAGGGCAAAGATGGCAGGTCCTCTCCAAAGAAAGGCACCCCCCCTTCTCTTTAAAAAAAAATATATTTTATTGATTTTTTACAGAGAGGAAGAGAGAGGGATAGAGAGTTAGAAACATCGATGAGAGAGAGTCATCGATCAGCTGCCTCCTGCACACCCCCTACTGGGGATGTGCTCTCAACCAAGGCACATGCCCTTGACCGGAATCGAACCTGGGACCTTTCAGTCCACAGGCTGATGCTCTAGCCACTGAGAAAACTGGTTTCGGCAAGCACCCTCTCTCTTGCTCTCATTCTCACTCGCACACTTTGACCCGAAAAGCTCTCTGCAGGGAACAGAGTCTGCCATCACTTCTCACCTGGGCCCTTAGGCTCTGGAGTTCTGAAGTGGAAACTTGGACTCCATTCACTCCAGAAGCCTTTATAATAACCAGTAGGAATGGATCGGACTTTAATCTCATACATGGCATCAGGTTGCAGCTTTCTCTGCAGGAGTGTCAGTGTTGTGCTGGATAAATTCACGTGCTGAAGAGCAAAAAGTGCCACAACGTTTTTAGGATGAAAAAAGAGGTGCTGCCCAGATCTCCCAATTAATTCAAGTTGAGCATCTTTAGCCTCCTGGACATTGGCTCAAAGTTTTCACATACTTGTTACAAGAAAAAACTGGCTTGTGGAGGGGTCAGCGGTAGAATTTGACAGAGGCTATGAGCTCACAAATGATACTGCAGCTGGTGAAAGAGGGCAGTGATACTAAGGGTCTTTATTCAGGGGAGCTGGGCTCTCCCAACTCTTCAATCTCTTCTTTTCCTTTTCCTCTCCTTTCACAACCCAAGAAGAGGGGAAAGGGAGTGGTAAGATGAGTGAGCAAACATTATTTCCCTCCAAAAAGAAATAATTCTACTTTTCTTTCTTTTTTTACTCCATTCCACTTCCATAAATCAATTGTGGTTATGACTTGGTGATGTTTTTGCCTGATTTACCTGTGAAAGTTGGGCTAAATATGATACCTTTTAAGGATCCCAAATAAAGAGGATTGATTTTTATTTGGTCTTGACCTATATTGTTAGCCCAACAACTTAATTTAGAAACACTATAAAAATAAACAACAACAACAACAAAGCAAGTGTGTGTGTGTGTGTGTGTGTGTGTGTGTGTGTGTGGAAACAGAGTTAGAAGAGGACTGGGCCGGAGGAGATCTGAAGCTTTTACTTTTAGGATCTTCTTTCAGTAAAAGGTACATTTTGAGCACAAAATTACCAGGGGACTCCCGAGGTAAAACTATTTTATAGTTTAATACTTTTACATATTTTAATTTATGTATGTAATTTATTTATTCAGTAAATTTATATACACATATTTATAAATTTCATAACCTATAAATGCAGTTGACTTACATACCATCCAATCATCTTCATGTTTTTCCTGGTGGTAGGCTACATCGTGTATTAAATTTTTTACGTATTTCTTTTGCAAGTGCGATGTATTAAATGTCACCACAAAGTCATTCGCTTCCTCACGATAGATGACTCTTATGTCAAAAGGAGCCTCAGGTTTAACTGAAAAGGAAAAAGAAATGAGGTCAGCCTATAGGGCAGTCAAGAAAATAATTATAATTTTAAAGTTCATTGACTCTGAAAAATCACATTCCTGTTTAGAAAACCACTTCTTCTTCCTCGTCCAAAGCCTGACTACATTTCCCAGCCTCCCTTGCAGTTGGGTGTGGCCTAGTGAGAAGTGATGTGCAGTCCTTCCTATCCTGACCTAGAAACCCCACCTGTGTGACCCTATGCCTGTTCCCCATTCACTTATTGGAGTCATATAATGAAGACAGTGAAGCTACAGGATGAATGAGCCCTGAATATTGCCTGGAGGACTTTCACCCACAGGCTAGAAACACCCATTTGGTTATTAGAAGAACAAGAAATACACTTGATGGTGTTCGAGATATCACATGTTTTGGGGCTTATTTGTTACAACAGCCGCTAATTTTACACTAAGACACGTTCTTCTGATTTTTAAAATATACTTGTTATAAACTATCACCAAAGAAGTATGTAGACGTCAAGTCTTCATTGTTCCAATAAGATCAGGTGGTAAGCTTACACCTCATTTCAGCTGTATATAGAATTCCAGGGTCTGCATCTTGGTCCTAGCTGGGACCTTCCAGTGTGACCCCAGGCTGCCTCCTCCTTCAGTCTCCCTTGCTTTTTCTCTAACTCCCTCTTCGGCTTCCTCCTTCTGCTTGTCTGCCTCACAGCATGGCTGTTATGGTCACATGCACCATATAGGAACATCCATCCACAGCAGCCGCGTCTCTGGATGAGCAAAACCCAGCTGGCTTGTGTCACAGACTGCGACTGTCATCCCATCTGGCTGGCACTCACCCTGTTCTGTCTCTTCTCCACCACTGATGCTTGGTCACCTATGGGACTTTTGCTTTCACTCTTTATGTTACCTTCTCAGTGAAATAAAGCTGAAGCTAAATTCTGAGTTTCTCTGAATGGTCTCTAAGAGTAGTGCTCTCCTACATTTAATTTAATTTTTAGAGGGTAAGTCAGGGGGGGATTGAGAATATGAAGAGACAGAGCCGTAGTATTTAAAAATGGCAAAAGAATTCATCTAGTCAATTGCTTTGAACAGTTCTTCATAGATACATAGGAAATCTCCACAAGTAGAATATGTACAAGTAGTTAGGATCCCATTGTACTCATATATCATAATTGGCTCAGACCTTGCCCTAGCCCATGGTATCTCTGAGTATAAAGAATTTTATTCACCTCAGGGTCATAAATCTGTAAGCAATAGAAAACATTTTTTTTTATGTCTAAATTCCCGATCTCTCTGGTTGTTTTGATTTACTTGCTTGATAACCAAAAGTTAAATTGGTAATTAATATTGACTTATAACCAGTTAATTGAATGGATTTATTGATTTTATTATGTATGTGAATATTATATAGATTCAAAGAAAACATGAAGATGAGTTTAGTAATTCAAATTCAAATTATAATTTTATTTGAACTATAATTTTTTAGCCAAATGTGATACATGTATTCTAGGTCAAATCAGATTCAGCATCAGTCCTCAATAATAGGGTCTCTTAGGAAGGTATGATAGTAACTTCATGTGTCAATATGGTGTCCATTTGTTTGGTCAAACACTAGTCTAAAATACAGTATTTTTTTTTTAAAGACACAGGTAACATTTAAAGCTGTAGGCTTTGAGTAAAACAGATTACCCTCTAGGGTAGTCTTCATCCAATTAGATGAAGGCCTGAAAAGCAAAGACAGATTCCCAGAAGAAGCAAAAATTTTGTCTCAAGAATTCTACATAAAAAACCTGCTTGAGTTTCCAGACAGCCTGATGTGCCCCAGGGAATTTGGACTCAAGACTATTATATCCATGTTAACCTCAATTTCTAGCTTTCTGACTTACCCTACAGATTTAAGATTTGCCAGCTCCCATAATTGCATGAGCCAATATATATCTATATATCTATATATCTATATATCTATATATCTATATATCTATATATCTATATATCTATATATCTATATATCTATATATCTATATATCTACATACCTACATACCTACATACTTATATGTCTATATATCTATATATCTATATATCTTATATCTATCTATCTATCTATTTATCTATCTATATATCTATATATCTACACTAATAAAAGAGAAAGATGCAAATTGACCATACCTTCGCAATGCCCATCAGCCAATCAGGAGTGAGTATGCAAATAAACACAACAAAAATGTTAGGTTAATTTGAATACATAGGCGCCAAGTGGCTAGGGGCAGGATGCAGGCGTTCTGCACCACCCCAGCTGCTCTGGGCCTCTGGGCAGTGTGGAAGAGCAGAAAGGCGGCTCTGGCTGGAGTGAAGGCAGTGCCAGCAGCCAGGGGAAGGAAGGCTTATTTTTTCTTGCATGAATCTTCATGCATCAGGCCTCTAGTGTATGTATATATATATATATATATATATATATATATATATATATATCTACATCTACATCTACATCTACATCTACATCTACATATATATAATCTCCCTTAGTGGTTCTGTTTCCTCTGGAGAACTCTATTATAGAAGGTATATTTACTTTTAAAAATGATGTGATTATTTAGTTAAACACACTCAGAATATGGTAAGTATAGGGGGAGAAGACTACAGAAAATTTAGAAGGTGAGATGAGGAAGGAAAGGACATGAGTGTGTGGATGACTGGAGACCCATCTCCAGTTAGACACTTCATATGGATGAATTTCTCTTTAATTTTAGGTGCCAATCACTCTCACTCATGGAGTGTGAAAATCCAGAGAATTATTATGGTAAGAATTAATAGCATAAGCTTCAAAACTTTAATTTCTTTTAAAAATGATTTGACTCATAGACACAAAGAATAGATTGACAGCTGTCAGAGGTGAGGAAAAGAGGGGGGCTGGGTGAAAAGTTGAAGGGATCAAGCAGTACCAGTTGGTAGATGCAGAATGGCCACAGAGATGCAGTTTGCAGTGTGGGAATACAGTCAATTTTGTTGAGATAACAGGGTATGGGGCAGGTGGGTGCTTGGGGTAGCAGAGGGACTACTGTGTAGGGTGCATGATTTTTTTCTGGCCACTTTGCTGAACATCTGAAACCAGTGCAGAATAGTATTGAATGCAAACTGTGGTTGAAAAACAAAATAATGTTTAAAAATAAATAAATTGTTTGTATCAGAAAATTTGCTATTCTCTAATTCAAATAGCTTACATGATTTATGTACTTTTAAAATCCAGAAACTCCAGAGACAGTCAATATCTTCAGATACCTGAAAGATGGAAGTTATCCCCCGCTAAGCTTCTTACCTATATGGACTATGTTCATTTTCCTGCAAGTTAAGATCCTTTGTCCAAGCTTCACACATATTTTGCTGTCTCCAATCAGTAAGAATTTATTTGTCTTGATGAAATATATCTCTTGCAGTTTACTAAAATTCAGGCACTTTATATCCAAAAGGCCTTCACTGTAGAAACAAAAAAGAGTATTTGTTTTAATTCAAGTAGGGGTTTCAGTATACAATGGAGTAACAGCACAAGTATGCTTCATTTGTGTAACTTCAACTCTGACCCATCTCATAAGATGATCCAGATGTTGAGACTAGCAGAAAAAGGACTTTAGAGCAGCTCTTGTTAATATGTTCCAGGGCTAAACATAAAACATTGTCAGGGTTATTGAATAAATGTTTTTTCTTAATAGAGAAGTGGAAACTATAAAGGAGAACAAAATAAAAATGCTATAACAAGTAACTAAGAATTTAAAAAATGTACTGAATGTATGGGATGGATTTAACAGCAGATTGAATATGGCAGACAGAAGGGTTAGCGAACATGAAGACAGATCAATAGACATTATTTATTCTGAAATAAAAATTCTTGGCGGCCTGTAGAACATCAAAGGGAAAAATATGTAATTAGAGTTCCAGAACAAGAAGAGAGAAAGAATTTGGCAGAACAAATATTTAAGAAAATAATGGCTCCAAATTTCCCAAATGTGGAAAAAAAAAAGCACATAATAAAAGCTAAGCACATCATACTTGAATGGCTGAAAAACAAAGACAAATAGAAAATCTTGTAAACACTTAGGAAAAATTATCCACTTTCCATAAGAAAATATGGAAATCAGAAAACACTGGAATAACATCTTAAATCTCTGAAATAAAAGGCACCCAGATTGAAAAAAGAAAAAAAGAAGACCCTTTATTTGCAGACCACATGTTTGTTTACATGGAAAATGATTTTCTCCAATACAATTATAGGAAATGATGAAGTGAATTCAGCAAGGTCACTGTACAAAAGGCAGTTATATTTTTATAAGTTAGTATCAAACAATTAGAAAAGTCATTAAAAAAAAAAACAGCTCCATTTCTGCAATAGAAACATAAAATGCTTAAAAATAAAAATGAATAAAAGCTGTTTAAGGCATTTGCAATGACAATTACAAACCATTCCTGAGAGCTATTAAAGAGGATCTAAATAAATGGAGAGCTACTTTCATGGATTAGCAAATTCAGTAGGAAAAAGATAGAAAAATTTCTCAAATTGGTATATAATATTAAGCAAAAATCTCAGCAGGATTTTATAAATATTGATAAGACAATTCTAAAATTTATGTGGAAATTCAAAGCACAGCCAAAACAACATGAAAAAGTAGGACAAATACTATTCCAAGCTCTTGAATTAAATATACTATAAAGCTATGGTAATCAGGACAGTGGAGCATGGCATAAGGATAGATAAGTTGATCAATAGAAAATATATAGAGAGTTTAGAAATTGACTCATACCTATAAGGTTAATTGATTTTAAAACAGGCACCCAATCAATTAAATAGAAAATAGAAAATCTTTGCAGCAAATTGTCCTAGAACAACTGAACAGATGTATGGAAAATATAAACCTCAATCTTATACAATATAAGTTAGATATGAATTGTGGACCTAGACATAAATGTTAAAACCATAAAGTATTTAGAAGAAAACAGAGAAAAGTAAAAGAGAAAGTGATGGATATTTCAGTCTTAATTAAAATGAAAAACCTCTGGTTTATTAAAATACACCATTAACGAAATGAAATGGCAAGCTACAGACTGAAAGAAAATAATTGTAAAACTTATGTCTGACATACAAATTGTATCCAGGACATATAAAGAATTTACCCACCAATAATAAAAAGACAACTCAATAAAAAAAGATAAAAGCTTTGCCAAAACAGACATACAAATGGCCCATAAATTCATGAAAAGGTGGTCAACATTATTTGTTACTTGAGAAATGTAAATAAAAATTACTGGGTACTGTTTTAGACCCAAATGTAGCTCATACTTTGTTGGTAGGAGGTGGAATGGTGTAACCACTTTGGACATCTGTTTGCACAGTTTCTTCCTGCTCCCATGACAGGGCAACTCCACTCAGACTTTTATTGCAGAGAAACCCGTGGAGAAACAAAACTGTGGATTGACTATGGACAAATTGACTTTTACGAAAATGTTAACAACTTAAAAAGGAATAGTCTCAAACTGGAAAAGACTCAAATGTCCGCCAAGAGGAGAAAGGATTAACATGTGTGACATATCATGCAGTGAAACTGATACTGAATGGCTGAAAAGGTGAACTATGTGATACGTCAACACAAATCTCAAAAGCACTGTGTTGTGCCAAAGGAGTGAGACAGAGAAGAGTAACGGTGTGGTGTTCCGTTTATAAGAACGATCAGAACCTGGCAAAGCCAAAGTGATAGAGTTCAGAACTGGGATTGCCCACAGGGGCAAAGCGTGACTGGGAGGGGGCTGAGGCGTCCTCTTAGGGCAAGAGCAGCGTTCTGTGCCTGGTCTGAGGTGATGGCTACGCGTCAGATTTGTTTCTCAGAATCACTAAACATCTCGCATTTCACTGTAGGTAAGTGTGACTCCCAAAATGAATTATCAACAAAGAAAGGAAATCAAATAAATTAATAAAGCACATAAAAAATTAAAGAAGCAACGGAACATATGTATTCTCAATTCTAAATTAATTAAACAATGCAGGATAAAATAAAATGACTAATTTCTCTTTTTTTCTCAACCTCCATATAATTTCCCTCTTCTGTGACAACCATGATTACCACTTTGTTTTTCCTACATGCTCTTTCAACCCGGCCACATAACCCCCAAAAAGGTATAGCTGGGTGAAATTGAAGTGGAGATTGTGGCAGAAAAAGTACCTCTGTGTAAGTTTGCTTACATAAAAAGAATCCTTCTCGTTAATCATCCTATATAATAAAGACCCAGCGACCATAACAGCATAACGACTAGGACAACCAGTTGCTATGAAGTGCATTGAACACCTTTTGGTCCCTCCCCCTAGCCCGCAGACTCCCATCACTGGATGGCCAATGGGGAACCACGGGGAACCAGTGTGGTGGTGGCAGGGCAGGACTGGGGACTGGTGAGCGGGCAGAAGGCAGACCTCTTGGTCCCTCCTCCCTGGCCTGCTGGCTCTGATCAATAGCCAGAAGACAGCTGATTACAGGCTAGCCTCGGGACCCTACCCACACACAAATTCGTGCATGGGGCCTCTAGTGTATATAAAACAAGCTCTAAATACATCCTTTACTACCTCTAATCCAGAATATGTGTGTGTTCTTTAGTAAATTGGATGTGTGTACATGTTTCTCTGCATGTGCTCAAGTGAGCCCTCCACGCGATCATCCATGGACTCTGTGTGGCTTGAGGTGAGGTGGGCATGGAGCTAAAATCCAAGGAGAACCCCTCAACTTTAGGTGCATAGTCACTCACCGTTGGCTGCTATGGACTGGTTGATCTCCATTTAAGTTTGCTAATTGGCTAAATATATTTTCTCTTTGTGGGACAATTCCTTAAAATGGTCTCTACTGCCCCCCCCCCCCAATGTAGCTTTTGTTTAGTTAACTATTATCTTTTAGGGGTATGTAGTTGTTCTGATGTGTGTGTGTGTGTGTGTGTGTGTGTGTGTGTGTGTGTGTGTCTGTGTGTGTCTGTGTGTGTATTTGTATTTGTTGGAGATTCTCAAGTTGTGCTTTTTATTTATTTATTTTTTTGGGGGGGTGTTAAATGGGTTTTCTCACTTGGAGTAGAATACAGGTAAAAAGCCAGGGTTTGAGGTAAGCTAGATGGATACTGGGGGCCACTCTTTGGGAGGAGTGTCACATAGGAAGTTTTGAAGATGGCAACATTGCCATGATTTGATGAATAAGGATAGAAGGGGTGTATTGAGGCAGGGTCCTATTTCTAAAGTTCAGTTAAAGATGTAATGTGGAGAAACTAGAAGAATAATGGCTTTTAGTTCAATCACTGAGTGTAGAATATACTGGGAAGTAAAGCATGTGTGGAATATTCTGCTAGAGATCCTTAACATAGAGCAAGTTCTTGGTACTGTTGGAAGTTTAAGAAGAATCAAAAACGGTATTCTCAGTTTATTCCCACTTTTTGGGGAAGGAGATCAATGAACCATCGAATATGAAGATCATCACATGGCTGTCTTGTGAGCCTGGGCATCCTATTAAGGGCTCTGAATTCTAGGAGCTGCTTTATGGAGCAGGGAGGGGGAGAAAGAGGGGACGTGGATTGGGGGAAGCCTTTCAGGAGACTAAGATAAAACTGTGACCTGGAGCAGAGAGTCTTACCTCGAGCCACTGACCCTGGCTTCAGGTGATTGGAGGAAACTTAGTGTGCCCCTATGAGTAGTTCAACTCAATTATATCCAATTCATTTCAATTTACTTAATTAAAAAAACCCCAATTTACTTGGTTGCTAACTATGTATTTATTGCCAGGGTTAGGAATGTTCTGGGACTCCATGGTATAACACAATAGCCACTATCCACATACTTATTGAACACTTGAAATACAGCTAGTCCGAATCGAGATGTGCTCTTTTTTTAAAAAAAATATATTTTTAATTTATATTTTACAGAGAGGAAGGGAGAAGGATAGAGAGTCAGAAACATTGATGGGAAAGAAACATTGATCAGCTGCCTCCTGCACAGCTCCTACTGGGTTGTGCCCTTGACCGGAATCAAACCTAGGACCTTTCAGTCCAATGCTCTATCCACTGAGCCAAACCAGTTAGGGCGAGATGAGCTCTTAATATGAAATACATAGCAGATTTGGAAGGCTTAGTATGCAGAAGAGAATGTAAAATATTCATATTGATTACATGTTGATAATATTTTATATATATTAGGTTAAATAAAATATATTATTAAAATTAATTTCACATATTATTTTCCTTTTAAAAATGTGGCTATTTGAACATTAAAATTTCACACCTGGCTTGCACACTTGTAAATTGTATTGTATTTATGTTGGATAGAACCATTCTAGGTATTTGAGGAAAGGTATCTGAATAGTACTATAGGCTAGTGGTCGGCAAACTCATTAGTCAACAGAGCCAAATATCAACAGTACAATGATTGAAATTTCTTTTGAGAGCCAATTTTTTTAAACTTAAACTATATAGGTAGGTACATTGTTATTAACTTAATCAGGGTACTCCTAAGCTGGCTTTTGCTAAAAACATCCTCAATCTGATTGAGATATGTGGCTCTCTAGCTGCGGTTTGCCGACCACTGTTATAGGCTAACAAATTTGACTCTGTGGGACCTTCCATGGGATATCAACTCCAAACCACTCACAGATCCCCTTGTTCTGAAAATAGGGAGAGACTGCCAGAGACCACAGCCTATATTTCTTTTTTGTTTTCTCTTTTCTTTATTCTTTTCTTTCCTTTTTTCTCTTCTCTTCTCTTCTCTTCTTCTCTTCTCTTCTCTTCTCTTCTCTTCTCTTCTCTTCTCTTCTCTTCTCTTCTCTCCTCTCCTCTCCTCTCCTCTCCTTTCCTTTCCTTTCCTTTCCTTTCCTTTCCTTTCCTTTCCTTTCCTTTCCTTTCCTTTCCTTTCCTTTCCTTTCCTTTCCTTTCCTTTCCTTTCCTTTTATTTCTTTCTAAACATTTTTTTATTGATTTCAGAGAGGAAGGGAGAGGGAGAGAGAGAGAGAAACATCAATGATGGGAGAGAATCATTGATTGGCTACCTCCTGCACACCCCTTACTGGGGATTGAGCCTGCAAACCAGGCATGTGCCTTTGACCGGAATCAAACCCAGGACCCTTCAGTCTACAGGCCGACACTCTATCCACTGAGCCAAACCGGCTAGGGAAGCCCCTGTTTCTTTTTCCCCTAAAATTTCTGCAATCTTGTATAATTTAGTGTGATGTGATATTTACATAGAAACATTAAAAACAAAAATTATTTTATTCCTTATTTGGCCCTGAACGACAGAATTTATCTTGAAAATATGGAACAACTTTGAAAGTCAGTATAGTTTACTAAAGAGAGGACTACATTACCAACACTTGTCAAATACTGCTGGTGAAGTCTCGAGTTTGAGGTAGAATCGGCAGGGTGTAGCCTGCGACATGGGTGGTAATTGAGGAAAACAAAACATGACACATTTGAAGTGGTATCTGTAGGCGTACATGGCAGTGACTGTGGTGCCCCCAAGAATGTGGAAATGAAAGCACAATGGCCTTCTGAGAACTGACTAAAAATTATTCAAACACCTAAAAGGCAGGGTCCCAAATTCAAGTACCTATGCAGGTGATATAAATGAGAAACGAGGGCCTAACTTCAGGACTGAGATTTAAGTCCCCATCTAGAGAGGCAACCAGAATTCATCTGTTTTTTTGATGTATGTGCCCAGTATTGTGAGACCTGATTTTTAAAGAGAAACCTAGATATTTAAATGCTGGAGACTTGTTTAAAAAATGTAATCACATTGAGATCTGAACCAAATAACTCTAGCCTTAAAATCAACAAACAAATTACTTTGGCTTGCGTCTATATTTACTGAATAATCTTTTGATCACATTTTTTAAAATGAAAATCATGCTACTGAGAGAATTATGTCCCAATTCCGGGCACTGACCATATGTTTCTATCCCAATGCGAGGCCATTGTGATAATCAGAGAGCTTGAGTTGCCCCCTGGGGTCACAGAGCTAGTTTTAAATGCCAACCTAGATGCCCGTTCCCAGCTCCTCTGTGCTGTCGCTCCAGGTACCTGACAGCCGGTTAGCGTTCTGGCAGATGAAGTGTTTTCAGTTCCCCCAGTAAGAGTAGACTTACATGAAATGGATGGGCCCTCTCTGTCCCTCCTTCCCCAAAGACCACCCTGAGCCCAGGATGAATCCTCAGGCCTCTATGAGAGTTGTGCCTACTGCTGTGAAGTAGTCACTTGGCACGCTGGTGCTCCAGCTCTGTGGTTTTGCCTAATTCAAGTTCATCCAAGAACCCACAGGAAGGGTCTTCACATTGAACATGAGGCAGCGAGGTTTCTAAACCTGGGAGGTGACGGCCAGATCGGGCCGGTGGTGAATTCATCTAACCAGGGAGACAGCACCTGGCTTCTAGCAGCAATCCCTTCTGTGCAATCCCTTTCTGAGTTAGCAGAAAGCACACTTTTCAGCGATTTTCAGTTAACGGGCAGGGGAAACCTCCATGAAGGTAGTTTCAGGGTGGAAAAGAAACCCAATCAGAGCAGCAAACACAGCTCTCCATTTAAGTGAGTTTAATTTAAGATACGTGGTCCACTCCGAACCTAGGTGCTCCACCAGTCCACTGTCTAGGCAGATACCTTTATGAAAATAGCACCGTGGCCTACTAAGGAGTTCGTACTTATTGTTTCACAGGGAAAACATGTCTTGAGGTGATTCATTTCCAATGGAAATATCTGAACCCAATGAAAAAGCCCAAATGGGGGGCTATGGCTAGGTTAGAGCACAGCAGGAAGTGTGAAGACTCGCTAACAGCTGTGGGAAAGTGCTCAAGTGGGCATGGAAGTGGTCAGAGGGCCTGAGCGTGAAAGTGGGCAGGAAGGTCAGCCTCAGACTCCCTCGGGGAAACCACAGTGAGCACTGACATCCACCAACAGCGGCCTGGGGGACCCAGAGGGAAACCTGTGTGTGGAGGAGGTTTGGCCCATGAGAAGGAGCGCCTCGTTGGCAGGAGCCCTTGGGTGTTTCCGTGTGGGCTAGCGCTAGCGGCAGCACAGATTCTGGGTGGGGTCAGTTCCAGTTCTCCCCACATGTTTCATTCCTGGGAAGAGCGACCTGACAGAAGCAGAGGGGGAGCATGCTATGAAATCCAAGTCCAAGACCATGCCAGTCCAGGGACGGCAGCAGGGGTCTCCGCATGAACAGATGCAGGAAGCTCCTATGCATTGAATTCACGTCAGATGTGGAGTTCGGGGCTTGTCTGGATCCCCTATCAGAGGGAGGGGACTGGCTGCGAGCCTACAGAATGTAAGAGGTCTCTTTACCCCGAGGATCCTGACCCACTTTCCTTACTAGGAAACCAACTAAAATCAGGTCATCTGATAGGAATTTGGAGATAGCCACACGTCCGAATTTCAGGTTAGAGTCTTTTTTTTTTTTTTTTTTTTTTTTTTTTTTTTTTAACCCTGAACAGCAAGAGCCGGTTTGTGGAGGAGAAGGGGCGGCTCTCTGAGCTCTCACCAGACTTTCAAGCAGAGACTTTCTCTGCTTCTTGGTCTTTCCTCGGAGGCCGCCAGCAGCCCAGAGCCAGTTCACTCCTGTGGGTTCTTGGGAAACTGATGTTGGAAATATAATCTAAAGTCACATTGTGTCAGGAAGGTGAAAGTTTGGTCTATATTTGTAGATTTTTATTTTATTTATTAATGCCTGTTTTCATTACTTATTACATACGGGCTATGCTTTCTAGTTAAATTATCGAAGCATTACATCATTTAGTCCTCACAGCCTCCCTGTGAGGTGCACATCTCGTTTAACACGTGAAGAAACCCGCAGAGGTAAGTCACATGGCAGATGCAGGGCCAAAGCTGCCAAGTGCTGGTGGCGGCATTGGAACCAGGCACCAGAGCGCCCCTGGAAGACACGGACTCTCCTGTCAGGCCAGGAGACTTCCTTCAGGTGAAGCAGGATGTAACTCTGCTCCGAGGTCAGGAGGGATGTGGGACCTCCAAGACCCATACCGTCATCTGGCTGTAGCAGCCGGCCCTGACAGATGGACCTGGAAGAGTCTTTGTGGAAGTCTCCTGGCAAAGGGCAAGCAGTCCAGGATGCTTTGGAATTCATCTGGTTGTAATATTGGACAACCAGCCCCCACGCTTTCCTCTGCCACTGCTGCTGCCCGGCGTGGGAGAAGAACAGTTTCTAAGCACCCATCAGAGCCCCCTCCCCCCGGCTCACCATATTTCGAATCGCAGGTGGGTGCTGTTGACGTCCGGGTCTTCGAAGGCGCAGCGCAGGAGGTGCTGGGAGCCGCTCACCTCCAGCTGGCTGTAGCAGGAGAACGAGTAGTCGGGCTCAGCGTCTTCCAGGTCTCCTGGGAGGGAAAAACGGGCAGCTGTCAATGAGGCAGACACTGGCATGGGTATGAGGGGGGCAGGGGCAGCCTTTGGGGGAGGGCATGAAGCCATGGTTCTAGTTAATCTAAAGGAGAAAAGCCCAGAGGCAAAGACGAGCAGGAGTCTTCAAGACCAAACTACATAGAAATCAACCAAAAGCAAGAGAAAAGCCAACGGCCATAGATTTTTCTAACAGAAACAAAAGAACAATTGTAATCAAGAAACAACATCCGAACATTTCTAAATGCTCCTGCCACTGGGCTCATGCCTTAGAGATCTAGCATGAAGTGCTGAGCAGTCTTTTCTTTATGTAAACGGGGATTTCTTCTGTTTGCACATTTCACGTGAGGGACACGTTCTCCCCATAGTCATATGCTACCGGACCCAGCCTTTGACTTTATCACCCATCTCCACTCACGTCCTCTCAGGTGTTTCTGTGAATGGAGGAAGAGGAAGGAGTCTCACAGTTAGGGGGGAGCTCTTCATCGCCTAAATAGGCATCCCAACTAGAAGCACCTCTGGCTAGCTCTGTTGTGAGGAGAGTTATTTAAGGTGATTTGTCTTAAGCTACCAACTGAGGCAAACGTAATTAGGAAAAAAAATTTAGGGCGGGCTGGAGGGGGTCAATGGGTGAAAAAGGGGACATATGTAATACTTCCAACAATAAAGATTAAAAAAAAGGAAAAAGAAATTAGGTCTGATAGGACTTAGATCTCGTGGACTTTCCCATAAGTCTTACAGGTCCTGCTTCTGTGCTTATCGATCCTCTATAGGTGACCGTATCTCACAGATATGAGCACACTTTGCAGAGTGTGTGGGAACCAGAAACTTTTTGCAGTCACTTTGGGAAAGTCCTGTCACAGTTGAAGCCCCTATGTGGAAATAGACATTTTGTATGCATATGTCATCATATGTAATAGAGGGAAGTCTGTCAGCACATGGACTCAGACAGGAATGAGAGAGAACCCTGAGCCACCGCACCCCCATTGGTCCTTAGACTAGCTTTTTATAGGGCTTTAAATCAGATATAAAATATTCTAAAATTAACCCCAGCTGAGTGTCCCCTAAGCCAGTGATCGGCAAATTGCGGTTCACGAGCTACATGTGGCTCTTTGGCCCCTTGAGTTCTTAGCAAAGGCTACCTTAGGTGTACCCTAAATGAGTTAATAACAATGTACCTACCTATATAAAGTTTAAAAAATTTGGCTCTCCAAAGAAATTTCAATCATTGTACTGTTGATATTTGGCTCTGTTGACTAATGAGTTTGCCAATCAGTGGACTAATCCATGAGAGGTGCAGGCAGCACCCCCCTTCATTTAAATCACCCCACTGGTCGGCCGTGGTGAGTGGAACACCAAGAGACAGGTGGGCTCAGTCCCAGCCCCGCATCGGGAGGAGCCACAGCCACAGAGAGCCGTGGGACCTGCTTTTTCTGGACTTCCCTGCAACCAGCCCAGCTCACATCTCTGCCCCAGCCAGGCCCCTGGGCACAGTCCCCAACAATGCGGCAGCCACCCACCCGTCAGGGCCCACGCAGCACGCTCATTCCTACTACCCAGACCTAGGTCTCGGTTCCTGAGAGCGCTGCCTTCGCCAAGGGAAAGGTTTTGGGTTGTTCCAGCCTCCCTTCTTCCATGGCCGCCCCCAGACCGCCCACCCATCCCGCACCACAGCACCTAGACTGCAGACAGCCATGGGTCAGCGTTGTCTCTGAGACACTTCACCATGCACAGCCACCCAGAGAGAGACCGTATGGGAGGTGCTGGACAAGGGCAGAGCCCAGCACCCACCCTGCCCTCAGCCAGCTCCCTGTCCACGGGCGTGTGCCTGAATTCTCATGCAGCACAGAGCCCTGGCCATGCCCTGAGCGAGAAGGTTTTGAGGTGCGGCTCATTGACTCTTTAGCGGGTATTACTAGACCAGAAATTCCCCTCAACAACGTGCAAAATTGCATGTCATTTTACAAAGAGGATGCTCTGCGTGATCTCAGCTGGAAACTTTTTTAGGTAAGAGTCGTGGTCGGCAAACTGTGGCTCTCGAGCCACATGGGGCTCTTTGGCCCCTGGAGTGTGGCTCTTCCACAAAATAGCACGGCCTGGGCGAGTCTATTTTGAAGAAGTGGCGATAGAAGAAGTTTAAGGTTAAAAATTTGACTCTCCAAAGAAATGTCAATCGTTGTCCTGTTGATAGTTGGCTCTGTTGATAATGAGTTTGCAGACCCCTGGGTAAGAGTAGTACGCACAGTGGTTAAGGCCTCCGTTACCACAGCTGGACAGATGTGGGTTTACAACCTGGCGATTCTGCTTCGTAGCTGCGGTCCTCTGTCAGCGGCCCCAACCTCTCTGAGCCCCGGTTTTCTGATATGTAAGTTCACGGTATTATGAGGAGCAAATACAGAGACGTGGCTCAGAACACAGTAAGCACGCAATAGGGGTTCACTATGACTGTTAACGCATTTTCTGTTGAGAAATCAGTAATGAAGAGGTAAAATAAGAATCCTAATTCTGAGAATTTGAACGTGAAACTTTTGGCGCTTCTCTGAAAAAGAAAAAAGAGTTCTCTATCAAAGATGCTATTACTGCTGCTCTGAAGTTGCATAGGGCTTTTGCACAATAGTGGATTAACTTATGTTAAACGCTCAGTATCTCCGCATGGTTTTTCATAAAAAAAAAATTTGTTTTTGGAATGTGTGTTATAGACCAGGCAGTGTGATTTAGATGTCTTCCCACGGGAAGGGATTAGCTGATGAAAGGTGTAAGGGGTTTGGTTTTTTCAAAAATAGCCATGTCTTCCTTTGCTCATCCTTGTGGCTATCAGAGAACTAACTTATCTTTCAGCCAACAGCAGCTGATTCATTAACACTCCAAACTGGGAAGTATTCTGACATGATCATGGGGATGGAAGGTCGCAAATCTCCTAAAAATGCCTGGAACTTAAAAAGTTGAAGTGAAAAACCCAGCTTTCAATTAGAATTCTTTAAAAAATGGTATGGTCTCAAGGGAGACGGGGAAGGGATGCATTACACCCAGAGGGTGAGATTCCTGGGTTCCAGGCCAGTCTCTCCGGGCAGAGCAGCCGGCAGCACTGACCGTGGAATGATGAGAGTCCCCCAGACCCTGAGTCAGGCATGGCCACACTGAGACATGTCAACAATTCCTCTAATGAAAATGTTCTAGGAACTTCCATCCTTAGAAGTCACTGACTTACTCTGTCTAAGCTGAGTCATTAGGCTGATGGGTGTGATATCTTTGATAAGAAAAGTTTAATTTTCAGGAACAAATGGGTGGCCCAGCTCCCCGGGTCGCACTGCTGCTGCTGCTGCTGTGTTACCTTTGTCTGCAGGTTTGCTGCTGTTACAATCTACAATATTTACTAAGGAGGCATCCCAGTCTTCATGGTCCTAAATACACAGGGATCCCAAAGAGCACTCCTAGGTGATAATAAACTTGTTGCTAGGGAGGCATATTAAATATATTCCAATGAGACAAGAATCTCACATAAATCTATCAAAAATACCTATTTTAAAAAAATTTTCAAATATTGTAAATTTAAATATTATAATTGAATGTCCACTGTGTCCTACACACACATTTAGGCACTGGGGATGCAACAATGGTAAGTGCAGACAAAGCTGTTGTTTCTAGACATTATTTTATCACAAAAGTTACACTTTTGAAACCTCCTAAAAAGCTAAGCAAAACACAAGCCAGCTTAATTTCTTAACAAGATATAACCTACAAGCTCCACTGTTGCATTCCATATTAAGATCCACATCTGGAGAGTCAAATGCATTCCTCTTGACAATTCTGACTTTATACACCACCTCAGGATTGCCCCCAGCCCCCTGTCCTGGTGGTTAGAAGATACACAATGGATACATGCAAAACCTCCATTCCAATCCAGTGCCTGGCTCAGGTCTGCTAGGGAGCAACCTGAAGCACATTTGAGAGATCATCTGAAATCCAAAGAAAAGTCAGAAATGACTCACCATTCTGTGCATAGCCACTTTCTCCAGAAACGGCTCGAAGTAGGCAGAAAACAATACCAAGCGCTGTACCTAGAATTGTCATTCTGAGAGAGAGAGAGGAGAGCAGGCATGTGAGCCTACATGTAGGAATGAATGAGAGAGAGAAAGCGCGCGAGAGTGAGTGAAACAGACTTAAATCTACAGTGTTAGGGCTTTATACTCACTTAACCACAGACAGGGGGAAGTATAAACACGGCAAAAAAGAAGGCATGTGTCAGAAGCAGGAAGTCAGAGTAAAGAAGCATTGCTGCTCTAAACGGAGGTGGGAGAAAGGAAGAGCTAGAGCATCTGAAATTGTTCTACTTCTCTCATATTCCTGGCAACCCCAAACTCACTGTGCTTATTTGAAAGTAAGGTGGTGGATTCCACATAGACTCAAACTTTTTCAGATTAGAGAGTGTGAATGGGGCCCGTTTAGAAAGAATCCTGGGACAAAAATCTAAACTTAAAAAAAACCCAATTAATTCTTAGGGGTGAGTTTTGATTTGAAGAAAGATTTGGCACTTACTAAAGTGCCTTATTGCAGGTTTATGTTAAATGGGTCGCCTTCAAACCCTTCATAAGAGGAGTAAATTTTCTGTCCCCTAGTAGTTACTTTACCTCACCCATTAGATTTGGCACTCGGGAGTTATTTAATTTAAGAGTGACAAAATCTGGTTAAGGGGCCAAATTGGCCTACCTGTTTTTGCAAACAAAGTTTTCTTAAAACCTGGCTGGTTTTTTTTTTGCTACAAAAGTGGAACTGAGTAGCTAAGGCAAAAAGTATATGGCGAACAAAGTGTAACATCTTCACTGGTTGGCCTTTTATAGAAAAAGTCTGCTGAACCCTTGTTTATAGGCTAAAATATCGATAGTTACTTTCTCTGTGAATTTAAAATAGGATTCTAGTCCAAGCAGTGTGTTTCAGTGATTGAGCATTGACCCAGGAAACAATTTGATTCCTGATCAGGGCACATGCCCAGGTTGCAGGCTCGATCCCCAGTAGGGGGTGTGCAGAAAGCAGCCGATGGATGATGTTTCTCTCTCATCTATGTTTCTATCTCTCTATCTCTTCTCTCTTCCTCTCTCTAAAAAATCAATAAAAACCCAATTAAAAAATAAAATAAAATAGAATTCTGTTTGTGGGAAGCTGATTGTCACACAACTTTTCAGGAACAGGTGGTCCATGTAAATCACACTAGTACCTATAGATACAAGGCAGAAGCCCGAGACAATGGGAGATGATTCAGGCTCTCCCACCATTTGTCTACCAATCAAAACATTTTCTGTCATGGTCTCATGGGTAAAGTGGTGATATGTGTTAAGCCTGGCTAACCTTTTGGCCATCATTGGCTTTTTGTCTTTTAAGCCATTACTATTGTTAGAAGGCACAATTAAGAGCGGTTCAGTCATTCTGTAGGACATACTTCTGCTCATTAGATGAATAATCTAACCTGGTTTTAGGCTAGATTATTGGTTCACAGGGGCTCTCTATTGGAAAACAGTCACATGAGTACGACTCTAAGGTGCTGAGGACACAGATGTTGAGTGGACAGTGGGTTATGAGTTTCTGTTTGGTTCACTGTTACTGGATAGAACCGGTCCTCTGGCCTGTGGAAATGGTTAAATTAACAAAGATAAACAGAGTATTTGAAAACTCTGAGTTAATCTCATTACTGTTATGTGACAATCTCAAAATAAGAGGTGGGGCATTTGTACCAGTTTCTGAGAACCTCTCTTCAGGGTGGAGGCAACAGAGATGGATATAATGTCGCATTCCAGCCTAGCTGGTGTGGCTCGGTGGTTGAGCATCGAACCAGGAACCAGGAGGTCATGGTTCAATTTTTGGTCAGGGCAAATGGCTGAGTTTCAGCCTTGATCCCAGCAGAGGGCAGAGATTGATGTCTCTTTCTTTCTCACATCTCTCTCTCTCTCTCTTTTCCTCTCTGTAAAATCAATAATAAAAAAGAAAGCTATAATTGCAAATTTTTATAAATTCAATAAGTGTTCAGGAAGAAATCACACATTCTGTCTATTACCAACACAGATGTCATGAAATACTCACAGGCTATCTATCACTCTATGGATGAGTAATTGGGTCATGTCTCTTTAAATTCTCTTGTTTATCATTTAAGTGGACTATCATTTTGATTGTATCTCTTTCCTTTAGTTGTGAAGACTTAAAAGAACAAAGCTTAGACACAATATTTTGGTACAGCATGTGCAAGTTTGCTCAGGGGATTTCCACTGGTGTGCTAGCTCTCTTTGGGTGGGGCAGGAGATGCCGAAGGACCTCAGAGAGAAACCTAGATAAAGCATGGGGAGCTCAAAGAAATGAGAAGCTCCCTCATCCTTCTAGAAGTGACGGAGACCAGTGGTACCTTCTCTGCTTTCTTCACCCCGGTCTCGTGAGTCCTTGGAGATGTAGAAAAACAGAGGAAGGACAGCCTCACTCCATCTGTCCCCCAAATAAGAGACATTTACTCTATAGCTTTGTCACGACTGCACATGAGAGAAGTGGAGAGAGAGAAGAAAGGCAGATCAGGAAAGGCCCACAGGACACCTGAGCCCCCAGCTGTGAAAACAGGATCTGAGCATCGAACTATGGGCAAAGCAAGTCCTTTGACACAGCAACTTGGTTGGATCATACATCTTCTCTCAGCGCTCCCTTTTCTCTTCCTTCTTTTATATCTTGTCTTCCTTTAGTTTCATGAGTTTCTGTGAAGTGCTGAATCATAATAAGGAAAGACATTTGATCATTTCTCACAGTGACCTGGTATACTCCCAGTATCCATCAGTTAGCTACGTTTCTCCTTGCCATTCTCGTGATCATTCAGACCACTTGTTAAACAGACAAAACACATAAAGATTTTCTTTTCATTTTGTGCCCTCTGTAGTAGGTTATGCATTTGTATATAACTGGTGCCGTCCTGGAGAGCTGAGATCAGGGACTGGCAGCTGGACCTGAGAGGCGGGAATGTCAGAGCTGGAGGAGGGTGTGCTCTTTCCCTGACTGTTGTTGGTTGTTGACTCGATAAAAAGGCATGCCCACAAGTCCCATGTTTTTCTCTTTATTTCCAATCAGTTAAGGATGAAATTTTCTCTGGGCAAATTCTGGCTGAGCATCCAAAATTAATTATGAACCTTCCCTATCTGGACACCTCTTAAAAACAGAAATTTCACTTCCATTCTTAACAGAAATTATAAAATTAGTGGGACAGATATTAATACATCATCTCTTTCACTGCCCTTGGGAAATAAACTGTTTCAAAAGCAAAGTATTTCTCTGGACCAGTTTTTAGATAAAGCTTATAAAATAACCCTTAAACATTTAGTTATATGTCTTAAATGAGAAAGATTTAACAGTGACTTACCTTGAGACTGAATATTGAAGGGCAATAGAGTGAAACAATTAACTACTACACAACAGTAATAATAATAAGCAGTATCTGTTGCTATAGGAGTATCCTGGGCAAACTCTGATGTTTGAGAAATACTCAGAGAGTTCCAACACGTTCAAGAAATCTGTTTTAACTTCCCCTCCTCCTACAGTCACTTACCTTCTGTAATTAAGAGTTAGATTTGAAAGTCAGCCCTCGACACAAGGGTTTGTAAAAAAAAAAAAAAAAAAACAAGAAAAAAAAAAAAAAAAAAAAAAAAAAAAAAAAAAAAAAAGAGTTAGATTTGATCCATAGCCCCTGCTTCCTGGTGGAGAAAAGAAATCCATGCCAGCTCAGCGGAGAGACTAGGGTCCCCCAAAAACTGTGGGAAAAGAGAAATAAAACCACCCAAGAGGGCCCAGTGGGTGGATCTGGCTGTAGGGGAACCTAACCTTGGTCTAGTCCTAAATGAACCTTCTTTAGTGTTTTATCAATGCGTGCTGAGTCAGTCCCTGGGCTGTGAGGGGGAGTCCCAGCATCATGAAGTTTCATTTCCAGGAGCATAATATTTTCCTTGTTGTGGCTCTTCTTTCATTTCCCTTTCCTCCTACCCTACATCTTCAGCCTCATGTCTTGCTGTCATTTGTGTTCTTTCTGGGCAGAGTTTGAAATGTCAAAGATGTTTTGACTCTACAAGATCTTAGTCTTGGTCTTTGCATGCAACAAAAATGGAATCTTTGAGTGCCAACTGTTCCTTCTTTGCTGAAGACAGAAATGGAGTAGTTTGGTGTCAGGACATGCCCACATTTCGATCAAAGTGTAAACTAGAGTGTCCATCTTTGGGGAAAGTGACTTGCCTTCTGGCAATGACTGCAGGTGGCAGTAGAGCAACTGGAGCAGGTATTGATCTTTCTGTAACTCAGAGTCTTTCTCTCAGGACCTTCCAGAAGACAGTTTATGGTAGGATCCTGCTCAGAGCCCTGATGTCAGAGAAGGCACAGCCTTCCACAGAGAAAAATCTGGCTCAAGTGAGATTATCCTGGGCCTTGGCCCATGGCCCTTGTGTTGGGATGAGCTCCTATCCTTCCACAAACCACTTTCTAAGGGACTGCAGTGCTGACGGCCAGGCCTGCATTTAGACCCAGACAACTGGGACAATTGGTAAAAGCCCTCTATTCTATGTCGTGTGCTTCCCCTGCCCAGTTAGAACCCAGCATCTCTCTGTAAATCGAGTCCCCAAAAACACATTGGTATCTCATAACTTCTCAATCTAAATATGTAAAGTCAACATCAAAAGTGATCCTGAGTGATAATGTTCATGGAACTGTCACAGAGAAATAGCATGTGTCTTAAAAAAGAAGAAATAAGAGATGTGTTTGTTGCCAGACTACATAACCCTGGGCTACGTCACTTACAGAAAAATTTCAAAAAAATGGGGAAATAATACCTACTTTTGCTTACCCACACATAAAGGTTTTACTTATTTGTATCAGAAGACAGTGAAATTTAATATAGAATTTTTTTGTTTTAAGTATCAGTTGGGTTATGCTACTAAAACAAAGGAGACACAGAAATATGGTGACTCTAACAAAGGTGCAGAATTTACTTCTCTCTCACAGTAGATGATCCCTGGGGTAGGCAGCTCCATGACTTCATTCCACTAGGAACTCAGCCCGGCCTTTCATTTCATAGGATATTGTTCTTGTCTATGTATTTGAAGTTAGCTTACCAGCACATTGCAGTCCTTGGGAAGTAGATGCATAAAAGTGAAAAGAAATCTCTTTCCTTTTCAAGGGCATGA